GAAGAGGAGGAGGAGGCAGTTTCCCACGTTTATGAGCCACCACTTCATATCGAACCCAAATCAGACACGGCAGCGGATTATCAGTCAGATTCTTCAGATAAGACGTATCTGCGGGTGAGTGGAGAACCTGAAAACAGTAAAGTCTTGGTCCGATTTATTCACAAAACATAACATAAAGGATGCTTATTTTATGAATGCCGAGTTTTGTTGCTTGGATGTAGTTTGTCGTAAACTTATTTTACTAGTTTTGAGATACTTCATAATCTTATTAGAGAAAAAAAGTCTGAGCAGTGAGTTTTTAAGCTTGCATTTTTACTCATTTCCAAACAACTTTTCGTGTTAAGATAAAATAAGCTTGTTATGCTATATTTTATGAAAACTTTTCTCAAAAACATTTATGAAATAAGTAAATAATACTGTTTTGATAATAATGTTTTTAAACTAGAATCAAGTCTAGTTTTTCTTATTTTCAGAAATCTTGTCAAGTCATATTTTCTTCTCCTATTGACAAATCATTTTTATTATTTCAAGCAGTATTTTACTTATTTTCAGATATTTTTTCTTATTTTTTCTAGATATTGTGCAACATATATACAGTACAGACCACAAGTTTGGACACACCTTCTCATTCAAAGAGTTTTTTTATTTTCATGATTATGAGAATTGTAGAAGGCATCAAAACTATGAATTAACTCATGTGGATTTATGTACGTACTAAAAAAAAGAATAAAACAACTAAAAATATATTTTTTATTCTGGGTTCTTCAAAGTAGCACCTTTTGCTCTGATACTGCTTCACTCCTGGCACTTTCAGCTTCAAGAGGACCTGAAATGGTCTCCAACAGTCTTGAAGGAGTTCCCATGATGCTTAGCACTTGTTGCCCCCTTCACTCTGTGGTCCAGCCCCAAAACCATCTGGACTGGGTTCAGGTCCAAAACCATCTGGACTGGGTTCAGGTCCAAAACCATCTGGACTGGGTTCAGGTCCGGTGACTGTGGAGGTCATGTGGCCCAGCACCATCACTCTCCTTATCGGTCAAAACAGCCCTTTCACAGCCTGGTGCGGGTCTACAGGCAATAGTCATGAAAAGAAAGGACACTCAATGAATGGGAAAGTGTGTCCAAACTTTTGGTCTATACTGTATATATTTTTTAATGATGAAGCCGGTTCACAATATGCTAATAGTCTGTTTTCTAATAGTCTGCCAAATGGGGGAGCCTCTAGTCTAGTTTATCTTGACAAATACTGAGAAGTTATTAAATGAAAGTAGGACATATTTCTGTGATTATCAGTGATTCTAAATCTGTATAAAACACTTCTGCGCACAAAATGTGTTGTAGTTATTAATGTAACCAGTTCAGGGTGCTTGTCCAAGTCTTGAAAATCTTAATAATTATGGAACTTTGAAACACTTGAATTTTGTGTGAAAGTCTTAATAAAGTGGGGAAAAAAATGCATGGTTAAAATAATAACAATTTCTAATAAACACAGTTGGTACAATCTCAACCAATGAAGTCTGCAGTAGGCACACAAGGATTGGGAAAAAAAATATTAGTTTAAAAAAAGTCTGGAATTGTAATTTGGAAAAAGAGCAAGCACCTGTAGTTTGACGGCCTAAGTGCAATATTGAAAGCACTGTATAATATATTCAAGTTTTTACCATTTCATATCTGTAACAATGTCTCTTCGCTGCCATTTCTCGCCATGACACTAACCACAGCGTCAAACTAACGTCACCACACACAGACGTCGACCTTTTATCTGATCTGAGGTTTAGCTCTGGTTCTTCACATCATACTTTTGTCTTCAGTTTGAGTCATGCCTGTGTTCTGGTTTGTAAATGTTTGCATGAAGTGAATGAGTAGTTTGCATGAGTCAGCAGCATGCGTTTTGGACTGTGCTATAGAGAATATTCATAGTTCACTGAGAGACCCCAACGGACGCTCCATGGTGAATATTTAAGCTTTTTTAGAGCATCATGGTCCTTGCTACTGTCATTTATGATTTGTGATAAAATAATACGTCTATGACCTTTAAATATCGGAAAAAAGACAAACTCCTGCAGGCTTCAATCATGTCATACTTGAAAATAGTCTCAATTGTTTTTAGTTGTTGATCCAGTTGTCTGTGACGCATTTGGGAAAGTGTTGGTATATTTAGTCCTAACGTGTGTTTTGGTAAATCAGGAGTGTCCGTGTGTGGATAAGGTCCAGGACTCATCTCTTCTTCCGGTGAATGTGGAAAGAAAAATCACTTTGGTGGGACAGCACCTGCACTTGTTCCAGGTAAACCACTAAACACACAGATTAACGACTGGTAATTACATATGAGTAATAATGGTTTGGTTACTTTTCACTTTAACTGCCATTACTCTGTTCATATACTGAAGAAAAGTAACCTCTCCAACCTGTAGCTCGCCACCCCCCTTCCAGGTAGCTCCCCAATGGATTTAGAAATGAACAAATTAAGAATACTCCTCATATTTCATCAGATTGTGTTATTTATTATTGTAAATGAACTTCGTCACATTTAACAAATATGTGATGATAAATAATGACTAACCAATACCAGGCTTGTTCACATCAATACATCACCAACATTTGCCGCTTAAAGGAGTAGCTCTCTGCCTTTATCGTCCCGGGAAAGTAGCTCTCTGCCTTTATCGTCCCGGGAAAGTAGCTCTCTGCCTTTATCGTCCCGGGAAAGTAGCTCTCTGCCTTTATCGTCCCGGGAAAGTAGCTCTCTGCCTTTATCGTCCCGGGAAAGTAGCTCTCTGCCTTTATCGTCCCGGGAAAGTAGCTCTCTGCCTTTATCGTCCCGGGAAAGTAGCTCTCTGCCTTTATCGTCCCGGGAAAGTAGCTCTCTGCCTTTATCGTCCCGGGAAAGCAGCTCTCTGCCTTTATCGTCGCGGGAAAGTAGCTCTCTGCCTTTATCGTCCCGGGAAAGCAGCTCTCTGCCTTTATGGTCCCGGGAAAGTAGCTCTCTGTCTTTATCGTCCCGGGAAAGTAGCTCTCTGCCTTTATGGTCCCGGGAAAGTAGCTCTCTGTCTTTATCGTCCCGGGAAAGTAGCTCTCTGCCTTTATTGTCCAGGGAAAGTAGCTCTCTGCCTTTATCGTCCCAGGAAAGTAGCTCTCTGCGTTTATCGTCCCGGGAAAGTAGCTCTCTGCGTTTATCGTCGCGGGAAAGTAGCTCTCTGCCTTTATCGTCCCGGGAAAGTAGCTCTCTGCCTTTATCGTCGCGGGAAAGTAGCTCTCTGCCTTTATCGTCCCGGGAAAGCAGCTCTCTGCCTTTATCGTCCCGGGAAAGTAGCTCTCTGCCTTTATCGTCCCGGGAAAGTAGCTCTCTGCCTTTATCGTCCCGGGAAAGTAGCTCTCTGTCTTTATCGTCCCGGGAAAGTAGCTCTCTGCCTTTATCGTCGCGGGAAAGTAGCTCTCTGCCTTTATCGTCCCGGGAAAGTAGCTCTCTGCCTTTATCGTCCCGGGAAAGTAGCTCTCTGCATTTATCGTCGCGGGAAAGTAGCTCTCTGCCTTTATCGTCCCGGGAAAGTAGCTCTCTGCCTTTATCGTCCCGGGAAAGTAGCTCTCTGCGTGAAAACGGTTGGAGACGCCTGAAGTAAACTCTTGGTCAGATTTATTTACTAAAAACAACATAAATCATGCTTATTTTTTTAATGGCAAGTTTTTGTTGCTTGAATGCACTTGTCGTGTAAGATTATTTTACTATTTTTAAGATACTTCATCATTATTATATTATTAGAGAAAAAAGTCTGAGTAGTGAGTTTTTAAGCTTATTTTTTCTTATTTCCAGACTTTTCTTGTTTTGATAAAATAAGTTTGTGATGCTGTATTTTAAGAAAACTTTTCTTAAACATGTTTAAGAAATAAGTAAATAATACTAGAAATATTTGTTTTTAAACTAGAATCAAGTATAATTTTCTTATTTTCAGAATTTTTGTCAAGTCATATTTTCTTGTTTTTTTGGAAGACCATTTTTGTTATTTTAAGCGGTATTTTACTTATTTTGAGATCTTTTTTTTCTTATTTTTTTAAAGTATTTTATCTCAGTTTAACTCTGCTGTCTGTCCAATAGGATGATCGTTTTCAGTACGAGTGTGTGTTGGATGTGGAGAATCACTCCGTGGTGGTGGAGGCCTCTGTGGAGCAGGACCAGAACCAGCCCACGGTCTTCTTCATCACCTGCCAGCCCCACCAGGTCTGAACTCTGCCCCACAGTCAACTCACCTCTGTCTGACAATCACATGGCCTGCTTCGGATGCACACTTCTCAATCTGAAAGGAAAGAGGAAGCATTTTCTCCTCTGAGGGAATACAGACAACAAAGAGCTCCCCATTGACGGTGGTGACGATGGTGTCTATGGACAACAGAAGGGGCTTTTTAAATGTTAATTAGCAGATTGCATGAATTAACTAAGACATTGCCAGCATTAAGACAGCTCTAATGTCTTTTAATTCTGTGAAGGTACTAGTTTGTGTTTAAAGGAGCAGTATGTACAAATCTGGCCGAAAGTGGTACTGCAGCCTCTCCCACTCTCCCTGACTCAGGTTGCCAGATATGCAGACGAATCCAGCTGGGACCATAACAGCTGAATAGACAAGAGTTTTGTCAACAACACATCTATAACCAACACCTTTTTCACAAAGATAGAAATCCTGGTTTTATTCCTTGTTTTGTCGTTAATGATTTGAGAATCATAACGAGACCTTTTTTAGTTCTGCGCCACATGGTACTTTACCGGTGAGATTAGCTTGACTTGGTGAGTTCTGGCGCCCGGATCACAGACTTTTTGATTGGTGAAACGGTGGACGGCGGGACATCAAAATGAAAACAATAACAACATTTAGAGGCTCGAAAACTAATTTAGAAATTCAAATATCTCTGAACTACTGTTATCAGTTAAAGAAGTATTGGAAAATAACATGTTTTATTAATGCCTTTGGACAGATTAGGGCCCTTTAATGATGACAGATTAGGGCCCTTTAATGATGACAGATTAGGGCCCTTTAATGATGACAGGTTAGGGCCCTTTAATGATGACAGATTTGGGCCCTTTAATGATGACAGGTTAGGGCCCTTTAATGATGACAGATTAGGGCCCTTTAATGATGACAGGTTAGGGCCCTTTAATGATGACAGATTAGGGCCCTTTAATGATGACAGATTTGGGCCCTTTAATGATGACAGGTTAGGGCCCTTTAATGATGACAGGTAAGGGCCCTTTAATGATGACAGGTTTGGGCCCTTTAATGATGACAGGTTAGGGCCCTTTAATGATGACAGATTAGGGCCCTTTAATGATGACTTGACATACTACTTTAATATGTTACAATAAAGTTCATTTGCTGTGTTCCAGTATGCCTATTCCTCACTGATGGAGGAGTACCAGGCTTCTATCAATGTGCGGCGAAAGAACCACTTCCTCATTGACAGTTCTGAAAATCTGCATGGTCAGTGCAGGATTTTAGAGTAACGCATACTTATATTTCATCACTACAGTTGTTGCTATAATAATCCCATGTTGTCTCCTGCAGTGACCCTCTTCAACTGTTCCGTTGGCCGTTCAGACTGCAGTCGCTGTCGGACGGCGGACCATAAGTACAGCTGTGTGTGGTGTGGGGGGGCGCAGTCCAGATGTGTGTACGCAGACTCCTGCTCCCATGAGATCAAGCACTCCTGCCCGGCCCCTGTCATCCACTTTGTACGTGCTCGTAGAAACAATTGTCTTATCTTGGGGTTGGGAATTGTCTAGCCTGGTCTTACCACACCATCATACTCATTTCATTTCTTACTAAGGTCTGGATTTGCTCCATTGAGCCCGTTAACAGGTGGGAGGGGTTAACTTATTTTGCAGATTGAAACGATTGGATCTGAGTTTACCGTGACGTACAGTATGTAATGAACCCGAGTGAGTGAGGCATTTAGCATGTAGTCTACCAGCAAATTCAGCACAAACTCCTGACGTCACCAACACGACCTACAACACCCGCCTCCCCCGCTCTCTGATTGGTCGGAGGGGATTCAACCGAGGAAACTGCAGCCACTAGGATCAGACCCAGACGTACATGTAGGAAATGATCATGGACCAGAGTTTACACATGGTAAGACCAGACGTACATGTAGGAAATGATCATGGACCAGAGTTTACACATGGTAAGACCAGACGTACATGTAGGAAATGATCATGGACCAGAGTTTACACATGGTAAGACCAGACGTACATGTAGGAAATGATCATGGACCAGAGTTTACACATGGTAAGACCAGACGTACATGTAGGAAATGATCATGGACCAGAGTTTACACATGGTAAGACCAGACGTACATGTAGGAAATGACCATGGACCAGAGTTTACACATGGTAAGACCAGACGTACATGTAGGAAATGATCATGGACCAGAGTTTACACATGGTAAGACCAGACGTACATGTAGGAAATGATCATGGACCAGAGTTTACACATGGTAAGACCAGACGTACATGTAGGAAATGATCATGGACCAGAGTTTACACATGGTAAGACCAGACGTACATGTAGGAAATGATCATGGACCAGAGTTTACACATGGTAAGACCAGACGTACATGTAGGAAATGATCATGGACCAGAGTTTACACATGGTAAGACCAGACGTACATGTAGGAAATGATCATGGACCAGAGTTTACACATGGTAAGACCAGACGTACATGTAGGAAATGACCATGGACCAGAGTTTACACATGGTAAGACCAGACGTACATGTAGGAAATGATCATGGACCAGAGTTTACACATGGTAAGACCAGACGTACATGTAGGAAATGATCATGGACCAGGGTTTACACATGGTAAGACCAGACGTACATGTAGGAAATGATCATGGACCAGAGTTTACACATGGTAAGACCAGACGTACATGTAGGAAATGATCATGGACCAGAGTTTACACATGGTAAGACCAGACGTACATGTAGGAAATGATCATGGACCAGAGTTTACACATGGTAAGACCAGACGTACATGTAGGAAATGATCATGGACCAGAGTTTACACATGGTAAGACCAGACGTACATGTAGGAAATGATCATGGACCAGAGTTTACACATGGTAAGACCAGACGTACATGTAGGAAATGATCATGGACCAGAGTTTACACATGGTAAGACCAGACGTACATGTAGGAAATGATCATGGACCAGAGTTTACACATGGTAAGACCAGACGTACATGTAGGAAATGATCATGGACCAGAGTTTACACATGGTAAGACCAGACGTACATGTAGGAAATGATCATGAACCAGAGTTTACACATGGTAAGACCAGACGTACATGTAGGAAATGATCATGGACCAGAGTTTACACAAGGTAAGACCAGACGTACATGTAGGAAATGATCATGGACCAGAGTTTACACATGGTAAGACCAGACGTACATGTAGGAATGTTTACAGATGGCAAAGACCAGGCTATGAGTGACTTTGTTAGAACAATATTATTTGTTCAATAATTTTCCAATAAAAGTGGAAAGTTCTATAAAGTGAAAATACATGTGGTTTGGTTCACTCGTTGGTCTATTCAGAATAAGTCCCGACAAATCTTGAGACTTCCAGATTTTTTGTAATGAGTTGTAACTAAATGTTTAATGTGTTGCAGATGGACCCAGTGTCCGGTCCAGTGGAAGGCGGCACAGTGGTGACCATCTCTGGCTCCAACCTGGGTCAGAGAGCGGAGGACATCCAGAACTCTGTGACTGTCGCTGGAGTGGCCTGTAACGTCATCCACAGCAGATACCAGGTCTCCTCCAGGCAAGGATTCCCTCTGCTGTAGTCAGAAGCCCGCGGCTGTGATCGAGTGCAGTGTTGACAGGTCTGTGCTTTGTTTTCTAGGATTGTGTGCGAGACGTCGAGCAGCGGAGAAGAAAGGAGTGGCCACGCTTCTGTAAGAGTGAGAGGCGGAGGATTAGGCCTGTCGCCGCAGATCTTCAGCTTCCAGGTAAAAACAAAATGTTGCATAGATGCTGTCAGCTGTGTGCTTCTGAATACATGAGGATTAGTGAGAATAGCTCAACTAAATTTAGATCCTAGATAATTGTGGAACACACCAGGGAACATGGAACATTATTTATGTTAATTTAGCTCTCACGCTAATTCTGGTACATTTACATTGATGCTTTTGGCTGACGTGTTGATTAATGTGCACTGTCCTAATTCAAATAAATAAATAAATTATAATGTGTTTACAATTATAATGTTTGCTCAAAACAGCCAGAAAACTTTTCAGAGACATCTGTTTGTGAAATACATAGTTAATGAACATGATCTGTGAGTATCTATGATTGAAACAAGCACATTTGATGAACCAATCGCAGCAGTCGCTGGTAATGCACCATGTTTTCTCATGGCGCTCACATTCAGCCCGTTAGCCGCAGTCCTCCCTCTTTCTCTGTGTGGCCTCTTCCAAATACAGTCAGCCTCCTGTGATCAGTCTGGATTTTGTGCTAAAATCCTTTATAGTTCAGATGTTATGCATTCTTTCACTAAATACATTTCTATCTTATGTAATTGTTCAGTATTTGTATTTCTGTCTGAGTTGTGGGTGTGGAGTCCAGCCTGTGACTTCCCTCTCTTTAATGAGCCACACTGACACGCTCTATTTAGACACACGTCTGTTTACAAAAGAACACAGAGGGGAATGAACACATTTAAACTGAGCCTCTGGAGCCGAGCGTGCAGTAAACACAGAGCTGAAGGTCCGACAGAGTGGGACATGTGGGTTACTGTGCACACAACTTGCATCGTTACGGGCATTTTGATATTTCATACACTTACTTTACTGAGCCTCTATGATCTAAGACATCATTCTAATATTTGTTGTCATTCCCAGAACCCAGTGTTAAGCAGCATATACCCACATAAAGGCCCCAAAGCCGGGGGTTCCTCTGTGACCATCAGGGGCCAACGGTTGCGGACAGGACACCCGAGTGAAGCCAGCGTCCTGATTGGAGGAGTGCCATGTCTGATGTAAGTGTGTGAGCGGATATACTCTGAGTTAGAGGGTTTTTAAATTCACTTTGTTCCATCCAGTGATATGACCTACTTTTTAGAATTCACAGCCTTATTTACTTGTGTGTGTATTTCTGTGTGTGTTTCTGTGTGCAGGTTGAAAATCCTGGATGAGGAGATCCAGTGTGTGACCCGGGGTAGTAACAGAACAGGAGAACACGCCGTTACTGTCAGATTTGGAAGTGCAGAGCGACACCTGCTGGGCCTAGTCTATTATTACACCGCCAACCCCAACATCACCAGAGCAGCCCCTTCCAAGAGCTTCCTCAGGTACGTTTCATACGAAAGTGTTTACAAAAATCAATCAAATGTATTAATAAAGCGCTTTTCATACAATAATTGCAACCCAAAGTGCTTTTCAGTTTAGTTAAAACAATCTAATATGCTCAGCCCTAAAGCCCCACAGACCCACCCAAAACCACATTTATTAATAAATATACACCCACATGCGTGAACACACATACACACACACACACACACACACACACACACACACACACACACACACGCGCAGATATAAAGTCACATCAGAAAGGACACAGGACCCAGAGGAGAGAAGAGGCCCCAGATCCCACAAAAGTAAAAATTTGACACACAAAAAAAATGGCTGAGATTTAATATTAATAATAACAATGGTAAATTACAAAAATGAAAAATAAAAATAAAACCAAAGTAAAATTTGTCTAAAAATATAAATGAATGAACTAAAACACAATAACAAAAAATAAAAAAAAAATAATCAAAAGCTAATCTAAAAAGGTGTGTATTGAGCCTGCCTTTAAAAATAATTGATCTCACATTGAACAAGTCTAAAACCTTTTTAAATCCACATCTTGATATTTAGCTTTAGATTAATTCAGATCTGCTATTCTGTCTTAATTTATTTAGAACCCTTTTATTTGCAAAACCTTTTAACCATTTTGCTGTTTACTAATAACACTCATTTTTTATATGAAAGGGCACAAACACTTACCCCCACCCCTTCTGTCCAAACTGTTCTCATCAACTCCAGGCGTCTGGGACCGGCCTGGGTTTGGGGCGCGGGGTCTTTCTGGGGCACAGTGATCATTGTTAGCTTCATTAAAGGGTTAATTTGCACTGAACACAACACATTATTATAAAGTGATCATTTTATCCATTGCTAATTAATTAAATCCATACGTGTATTTGAATTATGTTTATGGGGTGGGAGTCTACAAGTTTTTACTTCTTTTCCGCTCCATTTCAAGCTTTTGTAAATACATATTGAAATGTAAATATACCAACACGTGGTGAAAGTATGTATACTGTAAGCACAATAATCAACAAGTACTGTACAAAAGGTCAAGCTACAAAGGAATTTAAATATTGTAAACACATGAATGTTAAATTTCTGCTTGATTGAATGAATATATCAAATTAAAAACGTAAATATTGCCTCTCAAATACATACAACTGCATGCCTTAAACTAGATGTGCCATGTTAGATTCGGATCATAATGTGTTTCCTCTCGACAACGAGATGGAAGTGCTCTTGCCGTCTCTCACTGCGTTTATCAGATTCTAAAACATAAAAATACCAGTGTGATCATAATAAACTAATGCATATTTCTTCTTTCATGCATTTCAATGTTGCTCTTATACGTCTCAGCGGTGGAAGGATCATCCGAGTGTCTGGTCAGAACCTGGATGTCGTCCAGGAGCCGAAAATCCGAGTGACTCTGAGCCCACCGGACACGCTTCCGCCGCGGAAGAGGCGCAGTGTGGTGCGGAAGAAGGACCGCAAACATTTCCATAAGAACTCGCTGAAGAGGTGGAGGAGGATCGTCCCGGAGGCAGACTGTCCTGAGGGCGCCCTCTGTCGGGTCAAACAGGTACAGCGCCATAATAATCACTAATCTACATCCATGGATCTATAATAACATGTGGATGGGGTATATAGCTTGGAGCTGAAGGACCCATGTGCTCGGGGGATTCTCGTGGTACTACAGACTAAACCAGACTAAATTCATGTGGGCAAGCCAGATCCTTTCCCCATAGAACTCAATGTAAACTAAAACAGCTCGACCTCAGCTGCCAGAGAACCTGACAGAGAACCTACAGCTTTCCTAAAGGTCGCATTTTGTGGGGATTTTAGTGTCCCTTGCCGTCCTGAACTTTTTTTTTCTTCTTAGATCCTTTGGTTTTCTATTACTCTACACTCTAGTGCCACAAACTCTGCTGCTTGGGCTCCCACTCTGACTCCACTCTGATCAGCAGCTCTGATTGGTCAGAGCACTGCGGAGCCCCTCTGTGCACGTGCATGAGAGCCACACACAAGTATTTGACGCAAAGCATCATGGGAGCTTGTTTACTGCGCAGAACTGGAAAGACCAGACGATGCATAAATATTGGCGAGTTCTGCTAATCTTTCTGTTACTGAGCACAAGCCGTTGCTTTGAAGAGGCCGCCATCTTGGATCACCGAGGCTTGGTGGATCTGATGACTCCATGTAGAAATGTGCAGCAAATGCTTTTTCTTCTTCTTTCCTTATTTCATCAAGATCCAATTCTGATATTGATGATCATATTCTTGAGTCGTTATTTCTAGACTATTGGTGGTGATAAGACTGAGGCAGCATTGGAAATTTTAGAACACAATTACCCCCGACGTTTCATGATAGTTATTCAGACAGCGGCCGAGGTCTCCGGGTCCGAGGTCTCCGGGTCCGAGGTCTCCGGGTCCGAGGTCTCCGGGTCCGAGGTCTCCGGGTCCGAGGTCTCCGGGTCCGAGGTCTCCGGGTCCGAGGTCTCAGTTTCCGAGGTCTCAGTTTCCGAGGTCTCAGTTTCCGAGGTCTCAGTGTCCGAGGTCTCAGTGTCCGAGGTCTCCAGGGACCGAGGTCTCCGTGTCCGAGGTCTCCGTGTCCGAGGTCTCCAGGGACCGAGGTCTCCGTGTCCGAGGTCTCCAGGGACCGAGGTCTCCAGGGACCGAGGTCTCCGTGTCCGAGGTCTCCAGGGACCGAGGTCTCCGTGTCCGAGGTCTCCAGGGACCGAGGTCTCCGGGTCCGAGGTCTCAGTTTCCGAGGTCTCCGTGTCCGAGGTCTCCAGGGACCGAGGTCTCCGTGTCCAAGGTCTCCAGGGACCGAGGTCTCCAGGGACCGAGGTCTCCGTGTCCGAGGTCTCCAGGGACCGAGGTCTCCGTGTCAAATGTCTCCAGGGACCGAGGTCTCAGTGTCCAAGGTCTCCGTGTCCGAGGTCTCCGTGTCCGAGGTCTCCGTGTCCGAGGTCTCAGTGTCCGAGGTCTCAGTGTCCGAGGTCTCAGTGTCCGAGGTCTCCGTGTCCGAGGTCTCAGTGTCCGAGGTCCGAGGTCTCCATGTCCGAGGTCTCCGTGTCCGAGGTCTCCAGGGACCGAGGTCTCCGTGTCCAAGGTCTCCAGGGACCGAGGTCTCCAGGGACCGAGGTCTCCGTGTCCGAGGTCTCCAGGGACCGAGGTCTCCGTGTCCGAGGTCTCCAGGGACCGAGGTCTCCGTGTCAAATGTCTCCAGGGACCGAGGTCTCAGTGTCCAAGGTCTCCGTGTCCGAGGTCTCCGTGTCCGAGGTCTCAGTGTCCGAGGTCTCAGTGTCCGAGGTCTCCGTGTCCGAGGTCTCAGTGTCCGAGGTCCGAGGTCTCCATGTCCGAGGTCTCCGTGTCCGAGGTCTCTGGGGCCGAGGTCTTCGAGAGGGAGTTATCCGTGTCCGAGGTCTCTGGGGCCGAGGTCTTCGAGAGGGAGTTATCCGTGACCTTAAAGACCTGGCATCTAGAATATTTTGTCTTGAGTTTGTCTTCAGTCCAAACAAGTCAGGTGTATAATGTACATAACTGTGTGTGGGGGATGCATTTAAAAAAGAAGTTTATTTTTTGAACTCTGTAAGACCATTTAAAGATTCTGTATCTGTACTAGAACTATGACAATAAAGAATAGTGATCTAGCAGATAGAAAATTGGTATTGCTAATTTATTGCCATATAACATCTATTAGTGCTTCCTCTATATATTTTGTATCTAAATCTATGGTTTTTGATCAAGTTGATAAATATAATGAACATTCTTGATTGAAGGAAATCCCAAATGTCATATATACATTTAGTAACAGTTTTGTTTGAGCAGTTTTACAAAGTATATTTTACAGGTACATATTACTACTACTACTACTACTTATATATTACATTTCTTCTCTTATTCAGTTTGAGGCTCGCTGCACGGTCAACAGTTCAAGTCTCATCCTGTGTCCGACTCCAGCGGTGGGACCAGAGGCCAGGCGGGCCAAAGTCAAAGTGCACTTCCTTCTGGATAGCCTCCACTTTGACTTCAGCGCTTTGGGGAACGAGGCCTTCAGCTACGAGCCCAACCCCAGACTGTATCCGCTCAACCGCAACAACCCTAACAAGCCCTTCCACCACAAGCCAGGCAGCATCATCTCTGTGGAGGTACATCTGGAAATAAACCTGGATGTATAAGATAAGATAAGATAGACTTTATTGATCTCACACTGGAGAAATGTACATGTCACAACTGGCACAGATAGAATCACTCAGATTGTGCAAAAGACATGGTAAAAGCAAAAAATATATCTGTTCAGGATATGTTATGTACAATATAAAGTGGCAATAGCTGCAGGTTTTTCAGTCCTCGTGCATTAGTGACTTAAAGTGACTCATTGTACAGTCTGACAGCAGTGGATGAAGGACTGTGTGGTTGTAGTAGATTGTCGTTGGCGAGCAATCTACTGCAGTGAATGTAAATGACCCCATTGTGAGGGGATAGTGTAGCTTATCTTATCTTATCAGGGTGTCCGCGGAGAACAGCAGTGATTAGGGTCAGGGGAAAGTGGTAAATAAACATTATATATAAGCTTTCTATAACCTCTTTACTTTCCTTGTACCAACTACACAATTGCAATTCAACTCCTGCTTTCAAATCTGTTAGAATGTATTTTATCAGAATATTGTATTGAAAGGAAAATTTACCAACTTGTTTGCGTTGGCATTTTCTTGTGTAGGGGGAAAACCTGGACCTTGCGATCTTCAAGCAGGAGGTGGAGGCTCGTATCGGAGAAGGCGTCTGTGCCGTGAAGACTCTGACCCATAACCACCTGTACTGTGAGCCCCCGTCACATCTGCCCTCCCGGACCTCAGGGAACAAACTGGACCTGGAGGGTCTGCCCGAGTTCACGGTGAGGAGAGACCAGTGGGGGCGGGTCCCAGCTCAAAAGTGGCCAAAATGACGTGCGCTGGCATGCTTTCAATACCACCCCGGGCCGATGGGGGTGGACCATAGACTGTATATGTTAACGGACAGAGTCACGCCTATCTCCGCCGTTCTAACTAATGGGCCAAAAAATGTGCTCTACTGGAGCAATCCAAAATGGCCGCGAGTGGTCCCGCCCACAAGAAAATTGTGAAAAAACGCATCTGCGCATGTGTCAGCCGGCGCAGCTCCGTTCATTTGAACGAGAGACTTCAAAAATTCACAGCAAGTAAACTAGAGTGGACCAAAAAAATCCACCCCCCTCAGCATTGACACACATGTGGAACGGAGCTTTGGGCCAAGAGTCAACTTTTGGTCCATCCTGTAAAGACGTTTTTGAGAGGTCTGCCAATGCTATATGTTAGCATTGGCTAATTCTTCTTCTGGGTCCTCCCCCATCGGCCCGGGCTGGTATTGCAGCATGTCAGCGCACGTCATTTTGGCCACTTTTGAGCTGGGACCCTCCCCCACTGGGGTGAAATAGGCGTGACTCTGTCCGTTAATATATACTGTCTATGGGAGAGACGCAGCTGCAATGGAATTGATTGGAAATTTGACTACACACATACATGCATACAGTACACAGGGGTACATACACATGCATACATATATACCTACACACATGCATACGTACATACATAAACATATGCACACATACATACATACATACATACATTCACACATACATACAGATATACACACACATGCATGCATACATACATACATGCATAGATACACAGATACAAACACACACATATACACATGCATAGATACATACATGCATAGATACACAGATACAAACACACACATATACACATGCATAGATACATACATGCATAGATACACAGATACAAACACACACATATACACATACATAGATACATACATGCATAGATACACAGATACAAACACACACATATACACATGCATAGATACATACATGCATAGATACACAGATACAAACACACACATATACACATGCATAGATACACAGATACAAACACACACATATACACATACATACACGCATGCATAGATACACAGATACAAACACACACATATACACATACATACACACATGCATAGATACACAGATACAAACACACACATATACACATGCATAGATACACAGATACAAACACACACATATACACATACATACACGCATGCATAGATACACAGATACAAACACACACATATACACATACATACACACATGCATAGATACACAGATACAAACACACACATATACACATGCATAGATACATAAATGCATACACATACACACTCACATGCATACACACATGCATAAATACACACATACAAACACACACAAACACGCATGCACATTCAGTGGATTTTCTTTCATGTTTTTTATTTTTTTAAATAAATTAACTCTTTGTTCCAGGTGAGGATGGGAAATTTGAACTTCTCCCTTGGCCGAGTGCAGTACGACAGTCAGGCCCTGTCCACGTTCCCCCTGGAGGCTCAGGTGGGGGTCGGGGTGGGGGCTTCCATCGTGGCCCTCATTGTCCTCATCATAGTGCTCATTTACAGGTATCTGTTCTTTACAAATGTCCCACGTGTCATAATGAGTGAATACTGTTTGAATCAACATGTGGTTTGTTAGGAGGAAGAGTAAACAGGCCATGAGAGACTACAAGAAGGTGCAAATCCAGCTGGAGAATCTGGAGACGAGTGTGAGAGACCGCTGCAAGAAAGAATTCACGGGTTAGAACACACACAGACATGAAACTGACCAATAGGAGGACGGCATTCCAAAATACCTGCTTGTGTTTACCTCAGACCTGATGACAGAGATGATGGACATGTCTAGTGACCTGGTGGGCTCCGGGATCCCCTTCTTGGATTACAGAGCCTATGCAGAGCGCATTTTCTTCCCCGGCCACCAGGAGTCGCCCTTGAGACGAGACCTGGATGTTCCTGAATCCCGCAGACAGACTGTGGAGCAGGGGCTGGTGCAGCTTTCCAATCTTCTCAACAGCAAACTCTTTCTTACAAAGGTCATTCTTTACTCTATGTTAAAACTCAATGTTTTTGTATGCGAAAATGTATATGTATTTCAATGTGATGTTTCATTGCTGCAGTTTATCCACACTTTGGAAGTACAGAGGACATTTTCCCCGCGGGACAGGGCATATGTGGCTTCTCTTCTCACTGTGGCTCTGCATGGGAAACTGGAGTATTTCACTGATATTCTCAAAACATTATTAAATGACTTGGTGGAGCAGTATGTGGCCAAGAACCCCAAGCTCATGTTGAGGAGGTCGGTATCCAAAAATCGCCCAAAAATCACTTTAATTTGTTCATTCAAACTAACGCACATGTTCTGTTTTTGTTTGTTTGTCTCTTCCAGGACCGAGTCGGTGGTGGAAAAGCTGCTGACAAACTGGATGTCCATTTGTCTGTACACATTTTTGAGGGTTTGTTTGTCTCTATACTCTGTTCATAATCGGTATTAATACTGAACATTCTTTAAAGGAGCAGTATGTACAAATCTGGCCAAAAGTGGTACTGCAGCCTCGCCCACTCTCCCTGACTCAGGTTGCCAGATATGCAGACGAATCCAGCTGGGACCATAACAGCTGAATAGACAAGAGTTTTGTCAACAACAAATCTATAACCAACATCTTTTTCACAAAGATAGAAATCCTGGTTTAATTCCTTATTTTGTCGTTAATGATTTGAGAATCATAACAAGACTTTTTTTTGTTAGTAGACGCAGTGAGTTCTGGCAACCCAGATCGCAGACTTTCTGATTGGTGAAACGATGGAGGGCGGGACATCGAAATGAAAACAATAACAATATTTAGGGGCTGTAAAACTAATTTAGAAATCCAAATATCTCTGAACTACTGTTATCAGTTAGAGAAGTATTGGAAAAGACCATGTTTTATTAAAGCCTATGGACAGATTAGGGCCTTTAATGATGACTTGACATGACAATCTTACATATTCCTCCTTTAATTATGGTAAAATGTATTAAAAGGCCTTGGTTGTGTGTTGTTGGCAGGAGTCTGCGGGTGAGTCCTTCTACATGCTGTTCAGAGCCATCAAACACCAGGTGGACAAAGGCCCAGTGGATGCAGTGACTGGGAAGGCCAAGTACACGCTCAACGACAACCGTCTGCTGAGAGAGGACGTGGAATATCGCACTCTGGTAAAAAACACTTCAACTGTTGTCCTTTGTTTCTAGTAGTAGTAGTAGTTGTTTATTTCTTCGGCCATTATTTTACTGTATACATTAGATCTCCGGTCACATGTAATTGTAGTTTTATGTAATGTAATTGTAAATGAATTTAACTCTATGTTTATGTTTAAGCCTGTTTAATCTTTGTTAAATGCAGACCCTGAATGTAGTGGCGCCCGCCCCGACAGGAGGAGCTACATCTCAGACCGTACCCGCCAAAGTGTTGGACTGTGACACCATCACGCAGGTGAAGGAGAAGCTCCTGGAGCAGGCCTGGAAGGGGACCTCCTTCTCTCAGAGGCCCCACATAGACTCTGTCCTCCTGGGTGAGTGAGCTGTCGGTGTCGGTGTCTGTGTCTGCGTCTGTGTCGGTGTCTCTGTCGGTGTCTACGTCTGTGTCTGCGTCTGTGTCGGTGTCTCTGTCGGTGTCTGTGTCGGTGTCTCTGTCGGTGTCGGTGTCAGTGTCAGTGTCTCTCTGTGTCAGTGTCTCTCTGTGTCTGTGTCTCTCTGTGTCTGTGTCTCTCTGTGTCTGTGTCGGTGTCTCTGTCGGTGTCTGTGTCTCTCTGTGTCTGTGTCGGTGTCTCTGTCGGTGTCTGTGTCTGTGTCTCTCTGTGTCTGTGTCTCTCTGTGTCTGTGTCTGTGTCTGTGTCTGTGTCTCTCTGTGTCGGTGTCTCTCTGTGTCGGTGTCTCTCTGTGTCTGTGTCTCCCTGTGTCTGTGTCTGTGTCGGTGTCTGTGTCTCTCTGTGTCTGTGTCTCTGTGTCGGTGTCTCTCTGTGTCTGTGTCTCTCTGTGTCTGTGTCTGTGTCGGTGTCTCTCTGTGTCTGTGTCTCTCTGTGTCTGTGTCGGTGTCTGTGTCTCTCTGTGTCTGTGTCTCTGTGTCTGTGTTGGTGTCTGTGTCTCTCTGTGTCGGTGTCTCTCTGTGTCTGTGTCTGTGTCTCTGTCGGTGTCTGTGTCTCTCTGTGTCGGTGTCTGTGTCTCTCTGTGTCGGTGTCTCTCTGTGTCTGTGTCTCTCTGTGTCGGTGTCTCTCTGTGTCTGTGTCTCTCTGTGTCGGTGTCGGTGTCTGTGTCTCTCTGTGTCCTGTGTCTCTCTTATTACTTATTATTTTATTTTTGTATTATCTATCATCTTTAAAAATAGACCCGGGTTGATTCGTTTTTTCTGCTGTAATGTGTTTTTTCTGCTTATCTTATTGTACCGTGTCTTATCGTATCTTATTACACGGCTCCTCACAGCAGCAGTAGAACGCTCCATTGATTTGGATGTTATTTCAAAACGTTCCAACTGTCATTATTTCTTGATAACTGACCTCTCAAAACAATAATGGCCGCCGCGCTTTGGCAACGCACCCTCTGCTTGTAATTCAAATGTGTAGATTACTCCGCAAGTAGTTCCGGCCACTTCGGAGCTATCGGAGCTAGCCACGCTCAATAAACGCAAATACCAATCATTCAACACATTTAAATGTTAATCTGAGAATACATTATACATTTACATTCTTCACACACGTGCACGGAGGTTTTCAGAAGTATCTGTTAACGTTTCCATGACAAAAATACTGTTTAATGCGAGAAAAAGCGATTGCGAAAAGCCCAAAAGTAGGACACAAATTTTAGGAACATTTGCAGAAGATGGAATTATGGATTTAGGTTAGGTTTATGTTTGGAACTGCATGAAAACTGAACAAAGAATTCTGAACATCAGCGGTGAGTGACCCAGAGAGTTCTAGTTTGAAAGTTACTAGCCTTACTCTTACTCGCATAGCCACGGGAAAAGTGTCGGGGTCCGCTTCGCCCTTTCGGTACTTATTTTTCGATAATGATCTGCGTACTATCCCTTACCTATTGTATCTTAAAATCTTCTTTCTTATGTCCTTCAGAATGGCGTGCAGGAGTGGCGGGTCACTTGATCCTCTCAGACGAGGACTTGACTTCAGTGGTGCAGGGCTCATGGAAACGCCTCAATACATTACAGCACTACAAGGTCAATGCAACCACAACACAGTACATGTTAGCATCTGTACGTGTTAGCATCTGTACATGTTAGCATCTGTACGTGTTAGCATCTGTATATGTTAGCATTTGTACATGTTAGCAGCAGTATGTTAGCATCTGTACATGTTAGCAGCAGTGTCACATGTGGTTCTATATTGCACATTCTGATATTGCTTAAGTTATTTAATGGACTTTGTGTTTCATTTAAGACCAACAATCAAAGTGTTTTACTATAAAATCACATTAACTTATTTCATATTTCCACAGGTTCCTGATGGAGCAACAGTGGCTCTTGTTCCCAGAAATGTCAAGCATCAGGTCCAGGACAGCCACGACTACATGCCTGGAGAGAGTGAGTCCGTTTTAACACTAATATTATCCTTACCCTTAATTCTATTGTTTTTCCTACTATGTAACATGTGTATTACAAAAGGCCTCTTTTAGATTTTACATTTATTTCTTATATTAGACCAGAGTTGAAAGGATTTAGGTTTTGTTTAATAAAATTCTTTAGAGTAGGATTGTGATGCTGATTTTGCCTTTAGATTTTTTACTTTATTTTTGAGTTTTTGCCTTTGGAATTTAAATGGTCAGAATGTCAGGATTCAAAAACATAACAAGGCAATAATTATAATGCAACGGAAAAAATAATAAAAATAATATCAGATAAAAAAATAAATACAGTAATTAAAAAAAAAAAAAATTGGAAAAAATATATAACAATAAAATGTATTTATATAAAAAATAGAACAATAAATTAAATGAAAAACAAAAGTATTCCCTCGCAAATACGTGCTGCATGCCTTAGATTTTTTTGTTTCTCAGAAGAATTTTTAGGTTATTCTAGTCACAGACATGCGTAGGAAGATGCTGAAATATTCAACATGTTTTGTCCGTGCAGAGACCCCCATGTTGGACGACGGGGAGGAGGGCGGAGTCAGACTGTGGCACTTGGTCAAAGCCAACGAGGACGCAGAGCTGCCCAAACACCGCAGGGGCAGTCTGAGAGAGAGGGGGGGGGAACGGGCCAAGGCCATCCCTGAGATCTACCTCACCCGGCTGCTCTCCATGAAGGTGCGCCATACGTCCTTTGGAATACTTCAAATATATATCTGAAGTCAAAGTTAGTCACAGACAGACTTTTAATCATGATGCTGTAAACTCAGTAACGGCATCAGGATCTCGTTTAGGCCGGTTTTGCTTAATACCGTCACTCAAATTTGCTCTATGTGCTAGGGCTGGGCGATATGGCTGAAAACTATATCACAATATTATTAATTCATATCGGTCGATAACAATATATATTGATTGTTTTTTATTTATTTTTAAAAACGTAAATAAATAAATGTGTTGTGTTGGCTAACACATGTTAGCAGCCCTGTGTACAGTCACGGGGGAATGAGGCTGGAGCAAAATGTTCACAAGCAGTCTCCCCCACTTTAGTCCTGGTTTAATTCTGGTTTAGTACTGGTTTAGCTCCTGTTTTGGCTGTTTTCGAGTGTCTTGTGTCCCTGTGGCGGCTCCGGAAAAAGGTAATCTCTTGCTTTTGCCGAATGCATAGAGTCTCTGTACCCACTGCCTCTCCCGCGCCGCACATGCTGTTCCTCGCACGGACGTGTTTAACCATTGACACGGCCTGAAACACCCTCTTTAGATCCATGGCTGTTATAATAGATCCATAGATCCATGGACGCTACGCATGCTGCGGTTGTTTTTATGCTTTTCCCAGAAAGTTTTGCGGTTTGTAGTCGTCTGTGATAGGCCGAGAAGCCTTTGCCTACATCCCCCAGAATGCCGTGCGCTTCTGACTCGGCATTACTTCCTGTGTTTTATTCCTGTTTTTTTCCGAACGGACTGAAGTGAAACTATCGAAGTTCTATCGACCCTGTTTTCTATTGATATCGAACATGTGTCTATCGCAATATATATCGTTATCGTTTTATCGCCCAGCCCTACTATGTGCTGTGTTTGTTTTAGCAAAAAGTAGAAATCATGTATTTATGGTACTTTTCTACTGTTATTGTATTGGACTGTCTGTCTATGGAGCTGAAAAATGCCATAGTTTCCCACGAAATATATATAAATATTTGTTATTCTTTAGTTGAAGGAACAATGTACGGAGACATTAATCTCAAAGACACTGCAAGCTTCCATCTGCAGTCCCTGATTTTACTTTCAGAACCATGATTTTTGTTTTGCTTATTGAAACTTTTTCTGATGACAATGAAGACTAACTAGTTATGTCATCAGGAGCTAATATCCACAACGCCATTTTGTATTTTCATCTTGAGCCCGTCTGTATGAAGCGGATCCCTCTTAACGTGGTTCTCCTCTGGGTTTTTTTGTTAATATTCAACTTTTCTGCTCACTGGGTTTTGGAGTTTTTCCTCTGATGCAGGAGTCTGTTGGACAGTTAATGTGTAACAAGAAGGACTTAAGATTCTACAACTTTTATGGACATTTATCAACATTCATGGACATTGGTCTCTCTTTATGAACCAAAACCATGTGTTCAATATTCTTTGAGTTTGAACTGTTTGATTCTCTGATCTGTGTTGGAGATTTCAACGGTTTTGCAAAGTCCTCTGCGATAACCACTGATGTGATGAATACATTGGATTGAATTAAGCCTGAAAACGGGCAGTTCTATGTTTCTGCACAATTCAAATGTAAAACTTGACTAAGACTAAAATGAGTCAAGACAAAAATATCTTCCTAAACTTTTAATTTAAGAATAAATAAGTTTCAGAAACAGATTTGAGATAAATAAAAACAGGCCTCCAACTTCCTTCTTTGGTGGATTCAATATCATTTAAATTGTCAGTAAATTGTGTTTTTCTCATGTCAGTTGTTTGTCTTGGTCCCAGGGCACTCTGCAGAAGTTTGTGGATGACTTGTTCACGGCCATCCTCAGCACCAGTCGCCCTGTGCCTCTGGCCGTCAAGTACTTCTTTGACCTTTTGGACGACCAGGCGCTTCAGCACAACATCAGTGACCCAGAGACCATCCACATCTGGAAGACCAACAGGTGAGAGACCCAGAGACCATCCACATCTGGAAGACCAACAGGTGAGAGACCCAGAGACCATCCACATCTGGAAGACCAACAGGTGAGAGACCCAGAGACCATCCACATCTGGAAGACCAACAGGTGAGAGACCCAGAGACCATCCACATCTGGAAGACCAACAGGTGAGAGACCCAGAGACCATCCACATCTGGAAGACCAACAGGTGAGAGACCCAGAGACCATCCACATCTGGAAGACCAACAGGTGAGAGACCCAGAGACCATCCACATCTGGAAGACCAACAGGTGAGAGACCCAGAGACCATCCACATCTGGAAGACCAACAGGTGAGAGACCCAGAGACCATCCACATCTGGAAGACCAACAGGTGAGAGACCCAGAGACCATCCACATCTGGAAGACCAACAGGTTAGAGACCCAGAGACCATCCACATCTGGAAGACCAACAGGTGAGAGACCCAGAGACCATCCACATCTGGAAGACCAACAGGTGAGAGACCCAGAGACCATCCACAGCTGGAAGACCAACAGGTGAGAGACCCAGAGACCATCCACATCTGGAAGACCAACAGGTGAGAGATCCAGAGACCATCCACATCTGGAAGACCAACAGGTGAGAGACCCAGAGACCATCCACATCTGGAAGACCAACAGGTGAGAGACCCAGAGACCATCCACAGCTGGAAGACCAACAGGTGAGAGACCCAGAGACCATCCACATCTGGAAGACCAACAGTGTGAGAGACCCAGAGACCATCCACATCTGGAAGACCAACAGGTTAGAGACCCAGAGACCATCCACATCTGGAAGACCAACAGGTGAGAGACCAAGAGACCATCCACATCTGGAAGACCAACAGGTGAGAGACCCAGAGACCATCCACAGCTGGAAGACCAACAGGTGAGAGACCCAGAGACCATCCACATCTGGAAGACCAACAGGTGAGAGATCCAGAGACCATCCACATCTGGAAGACCAACAGGTGAGAGACCCAGAGACCATCCACATCTGGAAGACCAACAGGTGAGAGACCCAGAGACCATCCACAGCTGGAAGACCAACAGGTGAGAGACCCAGAGACCATCCACATCTGGAAGACCAACAGGTGAGAGATCCAGAGACCATCCACATCTGGAAAACCAACAGGTGTGAGACCCAGAGACCATCCACATCTGGAAGACCAATAGGTGAGAGACCCAGAGACCATCCACATCTGGAAGACCAACAGGTGAGAGACCCAGAGACCATCCACATCTGGAAGACCAATAGGTGAGAGACCCAGAGACCATCCACATCTGGAAGACCAACAGGTGAGAGACCAGAAACCATCCACATCTGGAAGACCAACAGGTGTGAGACCCAGAGACCAGAGACCATCCACATCTGGAAGACCAACAGGTGAGAGACCCAGAGACCATCCACATCTGGAAGACGAACAGGTGAGAGACCCAGAGACCATCCACATCTGGAAGACCAACAGGTGAGACCCAGAGACCATCCACATCTGGAAGACCAACAGGTGAGAGACCCAGAGACCATCCACATCTGGAAGACCAACAGGTGAAAGACCCAGAGACCATCCACATCTGGAAGACCAACAGGTGAGAGACCCAGAGACCATCCACCATCCACATCTGGAAGACCAACAGGTGAGAGACCCAGAGACCAGAAACCATCCACATCTGGAAGACCAACAGGTGAGAGACCCAGAGACCATCCACAGCTGGAAGACCAACAGGTGAGAGACCCAGAGACCATCCACATCTGGAAGACCAACAGGTGAGAGACCCAGAGACCATCCACATCTGGAAGACCAACAGGTGTGAGACCCAGAGACCATCCACATCTGGAAGACCAACAGGTGAGAGACCCAGAGAACTCCTCTGGGTCTCACACACAGGAATTGTCCCTAAACCCCAAAAATATTTAAGTTATGTGTTTTCAATTAGGAATGGACACGACCAGATGTAGCCTCAAAAAATAAATCATAAATATTTTTAATTTATCTACTTTTGGAGATCACTATGGGGAATTTACACCTACAATGGCTGAACAAAAAACCCCAAAGTACCAATTATGGGTTTAGCTTTTCTTCATTTGAAAGTGCAGCAACTCCTTTATGGACTTTTATGTTCTCCATTTGTCATTGAACAGGTCTATAAAAGGCCTTTACATTTGTCTAAAAGTATTCAAGTTTTATATTTCCGCTGAACAGAACATTTTGTATTCCAAATTGTTAATCTGCAGTAGCATCTACTTGATCCACTTCAAATCTCTGCAGAAATATGTCTAACTCTGTATCACTGTTGTTCTGTGTGCGTAGTTTGCCTCTGCGGTTCTGGATCAACATTCTGAAGAACCCTCAGTTCATCTTTGATGTCCAGACGTCGGACCATGTGGACGCCGTGCTGTCGGTCATCGCTCAGACCTTCATGGACTCCTGCACCATCGCTGACCACAAACTGGGACGGGTACGGCACAAAGACACTGCAGTTATCACATATCTGCATCTGTTACAGGGGTGTCAATCTCTTTCTGGTCAGGGGCCGGTTAAAAAAATAACTGGTCAGGGCAGGAAACAAAAGAAGGGATTTCCTTTTCTCATCATAGTTTTGACATTATGAAGATATTTGAACATGACTTTAATGTGACATGAGTTTCACTGTTTATTGTTTCAAAGTTTATTGTTTAGATCAGGGGTGCCCAAACCTTTTGCTTCCAAGGGCCAAAGTAAAAATTTGCCAGTGGGCCGCGGGCCAAATACACCAATATTATGCATGAAACACAAATCAATGTAGATTTGATCAAGTTCTTTTAAATGCATTAATTATTGTCTATCAGTGCAAATCACAGCTGAATTAATGAAATCAACACAGTCTTAGTGAAGTGGAGACTCCAGGGAAATATGCAGGTTTGAGGAGACTACAGTACGGAGAGATTCCGGCCGGGTAATCAGGGTCCAGAGGAGGGAGATTTTCTGTCATGGCTTATTTAAAGGTTAAAATCATATAATAAAACCTCAAAAAGAGAACAGAAACATACATTTTGTGTGCACCATGTGCACTTGTATATTGTAAATAGTAACTAACTCTATTTTAAATTTAAATTTATTCCTTAGAAGTGTTTTTTATTCTTTATTTTTATTATCTCTGTTGCACTGAGCCAAAGCAATTTCCAAGTCTATTTTCATATATTTATTTTGAACAAAAGTTTTTAACTACATTTGAATCATATTACTTTATCTTACTGTAGCTTTTATCAAGGGGAGACATCACTGATCAATAGATCTGGTTTTAGCACACTTTTAAACAATACATTTTAACATTAAGTAATGAATTTGGGAACATAATTGCTAACTGCATTTTCTAAACATGATCAGGTTTTAACTCTTTTAACTTAATATTTTTAACATAGGACAAGTATTCTCAATTAGTAGTGAACTGAATATTAAACTAACAAAATCAGACTAGTTAACCATGATTTGTTCCTGGAGTTTTGTTTTGTTTTGCCTAAACACAGTACAAAATTTATAAACAATCAAAACAAAGTAACTGTTAAAGAGTCCGAGTTTCTGCTCCTCCAAAGGGCTCTTGAACGCATCATAAAACTCCGCGTAAGTTCTGTCTGACATTCAATGATCGCGAGTGAGGACGGCGCTTACCGGCTTCTTTCATGGGGCTGTAGAAGGGTTTGTTTTGCACAGTATTTGTTGCTTCTACTTGCGTGGATCGTGCGCTGCGATCCCTGCTTGTCCTGCTTGAACTCACTCTGAAGTGTTTGTGTCCGTCCTTTTTAACACACCGGGTGGGTGCGGATTGCGCAGGTGAATAGTTCCACTCGCCATTTCCCTCCGGTGAGGAGGGGGAGTGGCAGTTCGGCAGCACAATCCTCTCAATTTGATAAAACATTAAATAGCTCCAAAAAATAATAATAGTAGGCTGAAAAAAAAGAACATAAAGGGGCCTTGCACCCAATTGTTTTGAAAGATGTGTTTGATTTTAAAAAACAGTTTAGTGCAAGTTGATGTGAACCATGAGTGAGGAGTGTATCTCGATACAACAGTAAAGTACTGGACAGTCGGAGTTCAGAGGGCTACTCTGCGCCCGCGCGACCTCAGACACGTCACTGTTTGTTCAGCGAGGCTGAGGGACGCAGATAGAAACTTACAGCGGAGGTGGGCAATGTTTGGCGGGCCAACTGAAATGGTCTGGCGGGCCAACTTTGGCCCGCGGGCCCCACTTTGGGCACCCCTGGTTTAGATTGAACCAAAACTGGATCAAATATAAAGTTAAACACATTTTATTTTGAACTATTTAACTTCTAATGATGTGTTATTGGGTTAAAATGTTAGAATACATTGCATTTGGTTGTTTTCCTGAGAACATAGATGTATAACCTGCCTTGGTCGCCCATTACCATCAATGCAGCTAGTTCATAATAATAAACAATAATTTTAGGGGCCACTAATAACTGTCTCGCGGGCCGGATCTAGCCCCCGGGCCTCGACTTTGACACCCATGCTCAATTAGATCACATGGGCGGCACGGTGGCTGAGTGGATAGCACTCTCGCCTCTCAGCAAGAAGGTCCTGGGTTCGAATCCCGGTTTAGGGCCTTTCTGTGTGGAGTTTGCATGTTCTCCCTGTGTCTGCGTAGGTTTCCTCCGGGTACTCCGGTTTCCCCTACCACTAAAAATATGTACAATAGATCTCTCCTGTTCGGCGACCCCGCTCCCATCTCTGTGTGGAGTGATGCCCAAAATGCCCAAAATGCCCAAAAATAACAATTGTAAACCGCTTTGTGACTCTGGTCTGTGAAAGGCGGTTTATAAATAAAGATTACTTACTTATACAGAGTCTAGCCGGGACATGTTTAGGCAGTATACCCATGGCTCTATACAGTACCTGTCAAATGTATTTGTATGTATCCAGGGCCATATGCACATACATGTATTTTAAGACAGCTGGTCATGCTTAAAATACATGTTTGTCATTTTTCCAATAGTAATTTGGATACATGTCAATACATCAAATCATCCGCAGTTTTCCAGATTTTTTTTAAAAAACTAGATAGATATACTTTGTTGATACCAAAGGAAATTGTGCGTTGGTCCCTTGCTCACAATCATACAAACAAAGGATAGAGTTAAACAATAAAAACAATATAAAAAATGTCAATGAAAAATAAAACATTAAGAGAGAGAAGTGAAGGCACTGCAAGACAATTCTCAAGACCTCTTCCTTCCTCCCGTCCTGCTCCTCCCTGAAGTGGCTTTGTTATAAATACTTTCTCAATATTGTTTAACAGTGAAATGTGTTGCATACTTTGTCAAACAACTTGTGTCCTAAGTGTTGTGTGTCCACGGTGGAAGCAGGTGCCATTGTCTAATATTCTTCATGCATGTTTCCATCTGTCTGTGCCCAGGACTCTCCCATCAACAAGTTGCTTTACGCCAGAGACATCCCTCGCTACAAGCAGATGGTGGAGAGGTGAGAATATGCCAACCACATGTCCTGCTGACCTCAGGCACACACACACACACACACCCACACACTGCTCACCGGGAGGATGGGTGTCCCGGGACAGTCTGTCAGGGTAGGAGAGACATGGACCAGGGGAGAGCTTGGCCCGCCAGGCTCACCGCATGAGAGAGTCCAGAGCAGACGCTTCCATTTAGAGCACTGATATTCTGACGGCTCATTGGGCGCGTGTTAGCGGCTAATGGTGCCTCTTCAAGTCAGAGAGGCCCACTTTCAAATAATCTCCATCATCGTGAACCCAAAAAAATGTCAATAAATGCAAAAATAAAGTTTTAATCCATGGCTGTCAATTTCCTTGGCCCCGGGATGATAATTTATTCATTTTAGAACTGGCCGCACAGAGACATGAGAAAATATTATTCATTTAATGTTCTGGACGTGTGTTGCCTATGAGCTGTTGAAACTTGTTTTCACTTGAAATGACAGAACCATACAAAATTATTTGATTATTAATTTCATTATTAAATACAAAACGGTCCACATTGTTAGGTCTTGGTGCAATAGATTATACGCATAACTTTAATGTGTGTTAATAAACATTGAACCAGTCCGGCCCTTGGCTTATCGCACACTAGTTTTTTTGGCCTCTGTTGTTTTTGACTTTGACATCCTGTTTTAATCTATTGATTCAAAACTGTTATATTAGATACATAGATAGATACTTTTGATCCCCGTAAGAGAAATTCAGGTGTCCAGTAGCAGCAAAAAAAAAATATAAAATGGATCATTCTAAAAAGCTAGCGATAGTAGTAATCGGCAACAGCCCGTCAGGCCCTTTAGAGGCAGTCATTATGAGTTGACGTGTTCGTGAAGCAAAAATATAAAACCAATGTTATAGAATGCTGTTTTTCTCTGAGAGGGAATAGACGCACAGATAAACTTAAATCATATGATTCACTTTTCAGCTTTAAAACTATCTTTCTGGAGGCTACATGTGGATGTTAATACAGAAGCTTATGTAAGTCCTATTGTATACATTCACTTATACTAAAAACACTGTAGAAAGGGCAAAATAAGGATTAGCTTCAGCCGTCTCTTTCTGCTGTTTCTTCTGCTCTGTAACTATGTGTTTACAATGGACCGATATAAACTTCATTCACTCATTCATTATATTACAGTAAAATGATCCATTCCTGTGATTTCAGGCGTTCAATAAAATATATTATAACAAAAATCAAATCTGATTATTTCTATTTTTGCTAACACCTTGACCTTTCATTCATCTGTATTAAATAAATTGGTCAATAAAAGCTGGTCCCTGGTTCAACTCAATTCAATTCAAATAACTTTATTTATCTACAGACACAACTGTGGGGGTACATACAAACAGAAACACAAGTTACAAATACAAATTAAAAAGCAGAAATGCAATATACATTACATAAAACAGATCTTAAAATCAGTGGTTTGAGGTGAGGTGGAAGCTGGATGAGGCTCTTTTAGTTTTGAATGGGAGGGACATGAACCTACGCCCTGATGGGAGCAGAGTGTGAGAGATGTCTGTGGAGGTCTGAGCCTTTCCTTAAAGAGCGACTAAACACCAAATCAACTTTTTTTAACTCATAAACTTCATAAGTATGTTTATTGTAGTGCTGTCTACATATCCTGGTCATTTTTTTGACATTTTAGTTCAAATTAGATAAAATATCACTTTTGAGCCAAAAAACGCTGTGTGGTGCCCTCTCAACCTTTTTGGTGGTACTACATTTGAATTTGGTCCTGGCCTCTCCATTGACTCTGAAGTTCTCTATGACATCAGTTGTTTTGTGTGACATCAGTCTGTCAGAGCCAGTGATATAAACCCATTCAACTCTCACACACGCCCCAGCTGCAGTTTGGAGTATTCTGGCGCCATCTAGTGGATTCAAATTAAATTACATGAGTCATTCTGAGATTATTGAGTGTGATTAGGTTCAGGTGTGTAGCTTTACAATTATCTTAGTGTGTAAACAAGGGTTGAATGAGACTTTCTGGTCTCTAAACTATTGCTTTAAGCAGCAATGACAACTGTCTGTTTTTTTTAGTGAGACAAGTGAGCTGTCAATCACAGCCCAGACCACGCCCAACTCTAAGCCCCCCTTCTTGTCCCTTAGTCCTCCAGGCAACGCCCTTTTTAGAGAACATTTTCAAATCTTCATGTGGGCGGAGTAAGGCTGGGCACAGGTGTTTAGTCGCTCTTTAAATCTTTGTTATTATAAATGGCTGTGAGTGAGTTTTGCTGCTGTCCAATGATTCTGCAGCTGATTTTAATGATCTTTGTGATTACATTCTGATGTGTGCTTCATTGTGATGTGGGCCAGCTCATCTAGAACTTCACAAAGAGGATTTAGACTTGTTACACATTTAACACACATTTGGTTTGAAGCAAAGGTTTAGTCATAATAGAAAACTATATGTTGAAACTGGTAGTGAATGTATCCACCACAAGAGGTCACTGCAGTTTCACAATCCGTCTTTAGGCAAGGCAAGTTGTTGCAGTTAAACAGAACTGCTTTTTACCTGGATTTAGACATTGTCAGAGAAGAGGCCTGTCTCACACTTTCAGGAAGATTATTCTAGATATTAGCTGCATGAATCTGAAATGCAGCCTCCCCATGTTTAGTCCTGACTCTGGGACCAGCAGTAGGCCAGTCCCTGTGCTCTGACATGTCACAGATGTACTTTGGTTCGAGGCCATGGAGAGACTTGTAACAAACAGAGCTGCTTTAAAGACCTGAGACCTGGACTGATGTGATCGTACCTCCTGGTTCTAGTCAGGACTAATGTGATCATACTTCCTGGTTCTAGTCAGGACTAATGTGATCATACTTTCTGGTTCTAGTCAGGACTAATGTGATCATACTTCCTGGTTCTAGTCAGGACTAATGTGATCATACTTTCTGGTTCTAGTCAGGACTAATGTGATCATACTTCCTGGTTCTAGTCAGGACTGGACACAAATACAGGATAAGAATCTCCAAGTCTGCTTTAGACACTGTGTTTTTGATCCTGAACATGTTTTTATTTGGTAAAAAGTTGCTCATGTTTTTGACTTGATGTAATTTAAGCTTTTATATTGGTTTTATAAAGTAATTTTCCTTAATTTTCTTTTGTGTGCACAGATACTATGGAGACATCAGACAGACCATCTCAGCCAGCGACCAGGAGATGAACTCTGCTCTGGCTGAACTTTCCCGGGTGAGTTTCTGAACATTCCCATCACCATCAGGACTGAAACTACTGTGTATGATGCTGATGTTTGGTTTTCTTTGACAACATAGAATTACGCTGCTGAGGTCAACTGTCTGGTGGCCTTAAACGAACTGTACAAGTACATCAACAAATACTATGATCAGGTAAGAGACGCTCAAAAACATAGTAAGTCATATTTATTTAAATAAGTTTGTGTAAGCTCTCAGTCCTACAGGGATTATTCAAAACATCCCATCCATCTGTACTTTGGTTAGCAGGTTTTCCCGAACTGCTAATACCTGCTAACTGAAGTACAAATGATGGGCGAGCAACCTTTCTTTGAACTGTAAAAATGTGCTAATATAAATAAAAAATGTCACCCAATGAGCTTTCAGATATTGTTCCATTCTCTCCACACGGTGATGACAGAAGCGAGACACCGAACACACTGGACCATAAAAACCTCTGACCAAACACCATCCATTCACTAATTACATTCAGACCTTTACTCTTATGGCCCACCTTTACTCTTGTGGCCCACCTTTACTCTTGTGGCCCACCTTTACTCTTGTGTCCCACATTTACTCTTGTGTCCCACCTTTACTCTCATGGCCCGCCTTTTCCCTTATGGCCCACCTTTACTCTTATGGCCCATCTTTACTCTCATGGCCCACCTTTACCTTTATGGCCCACCTTTACTCTCATGGCCCATCTTTTGCTTATGTCCCACCTTTTCTCTTATGGCCCATCTTTACTCTTATGGCCCACCTTTACTCTTATGGCCCACCTTTACTCTTATGTCCCATCTTTACTCTTATGGCCCACCTTTACTCTTATGGCCCACCTTTTCCCTTATGGCCCACCTTTTCCCTTATGGCCCACCTTAACTCTTGTGGCCCACCTTCACTCTCATGGCCCACCCTCTCTATCATGGCCCACCTTTACCCTTATGGCCCACCTTCACTCTCATGGCCCACCCTCTCTCTCATGGCCCACGCTAACCCTCGTGGCCCACGCTAACCCTCGTGGCCCACGCTAACCCTCGTGGCCCACCTTGACTCTTATGGCCCACCTTTACTCTTATGGCCCACCTTCACTCTCATGGCCCACCCTCTCTCTCATGGCCCACGCTAACCCTCGTGGCCCACGCTAACCCTCGTGGCCCACGCTAACCCTCGTGGCCCACGCTAACCCTCGTGGCCCACCTTGACTCTTATGGCCCACCTTTACTCTTATGGCCCACCTTCACTCTCATGGCCCACCCTCTCTCTCATGGCCCACGCTAACCCTCGTGGCCCACGCTAACCCTCGTGGCCCACGCTAACCCTCGTGGCCCACCTTGACTCTTATGGCCCACCTTTACTCTTATGGCCCACCTTCACTCTCATGGCCCACCCTCTCTCTCATGGCCCACGCTAACCCTCGTGGCCCACGCTAACCCTCGTGGCCCACGCTAACCCTCGTGGCCCACGCTAACCCTCGTGGCCCACCTTGACTCTTATGGCCCACCTTTACTCTTATGGCCCACCTTCACTCTCATGGCCCACCCTCTCTCTCATGGCCCACGCTAACCCTCGTGGCCCACGCTAACCCTCGTGGCCCACGCTAACCCTCGTGGCCCACGCTAACCCTCGTGGCCCACGCTAACCCTCGTGGCCCACCTTGACTCTTATGGCCCACCTTTACTCTTATGGCCCACCTTCACTCTCATGGCCCACCCTCTCTCTCATGGCCCACGCTAACCCTCGTGGCCCACGCTAACCCTCGTGGCCCACGCTAACCCTCGTGGCCCACGCTAACCCTCGTGGCCCACCTTGACTCTTATGGCCCACCTTTACTCTTATGGCCCACCTTCACTCTCATGGCCCACCCTCTCTCTCATGGCCCACGCTAACCCTCGTGGCCCACGCTAACCCTCGTGGCCCACGCTAACCCTCGTGGCCCACCTTGACTCTTATGGCCCACCTTTACTCTTATGGCCCACCTTCACTCTCATGGCCCACCCTCTCTCTCATGGCCCACGCTAACCCTCGTGGCCCACGCTAACCCTCGTGGCCCACGCTAACCCTCGTGGCCCACGCTAACCCTCGTGGCCCACGCTAACCCTCGTGGCCCACCTTGACTCTTATGGCCCACCTTTACTCTTATGGCCCACCTTCACTCTCATGGCCCACCCTCTCTCTCATGGCCCACGCTAACCCTCGTGGCCCACGCTAACCCTCGTGGCCCACGCTAACCCTCGTGGCCCACCTTGACTCTTATGGCCCACCTTTACTCTTATGGCCCACCTTCACTCTCATGGCCCACCCTCTCTCTCATGGCCCACGCTAACCCTCGTGGCCCACGCTAACCCTCGTGGCCCACGCTAACCCTCGTGGCCCACCTTGACTCTTATGGCCCACCTTTACTCTTATGGCCCACCTTCACTCTCATGGCCCACCCTCTCTCTCATGGCCCACGCTAACCCTCGTGGCCCACGCTAACCCTCGTGGCCCACGCTAACCCTCGTGGCCCACCTTGACTCTTATGGCCCACCTTTACTCTTATGGCCCACCTTCACTCTCATGGCCCACCCTCTCTCTCATGGCCCACGCTAACCCTCGTGGCCCACCTTGACTCTCCTGTCCCTGTGTTTCAGATCATCACTGCGCTGGAGGACGACCCCACGGCTCAGAAGATGCAGCTGGGATACAGACTGCAGCAGATCGCAGCAGCTGTGGAGAACAAAGTGACCGACCTATGATCCCCCGACCCCGGCCCACCCCCCCCCCATGCACCTTTACCCTTTGAACACTACGGACACTGGAACAGGGATCATCTGGAATCGATGGTCTTCGTCTCCGCACCAGGAAAGCACCATGAAGGAGAAATCTTAAAGGGAACCAGACTGGGAAAGAAGCCTGAACATTCCTGCTCCATGGATCCATAAACGTGGCACTTGTCGTTTTTATTCGCTTTGTTATTCCTCTTTCTGGGTCCACGGAGAGATGGCCGCTGCTTCAACAACGATACGGGTGGGGGCTTCAGGCAAAGTGGGGTTAAAGTGTCTTGCCCAGGGACACCACGACAGCAGTGGGAGCAGATGAAGGGCTGACCAACTGAGCCACTGTCGCCACTGTGATTAAAATGGTGAAAAAGAGAAAACATTTTTTTTCAGCTGGTGACTTCTACTTTTTGCGTCTTACTCGGATTTAATTTAATCGCGTCTGCTTTGTCGGTCTTCACCCTCTTGAGTCTTAACGCTGCTGCGGACACTTTGTTTGTAAAGACACTTTGGAAACTTCCCGTGTCGTCATTTCACTGCTGAACTTTACCTGTTTTCACCGACTTTTGTCCAGTTTTTGTTTGAGACGAACCGGATCCGTCCTGGACTGTCCTCTAGGGGGCACTGTGAGTTTGACCAACAACATGGTGATTCTAAACACTGGAAACATGTCACTGGTTGAAGGTTTGGCTGTTTTTGGTCAGAGCGGCCACATATAAAGTTAGATCATGTACATTTATCCCCAATTTACACCTAGCGTCTTCGGGAACATGTAGACAAGTTTATTTGTATTGCACAGTTCATACGCAAGGAGGCCTCCCCATGTTTAGTCTTGACTATGAGACCAGCAGGAGGCCAGTCCCTGTGCTCCTCAGAGTTGATTCATATGGGACTAACGGGTCACAGATGTACTTTGGTTCATGGAGAGACTTGTAACAAGCAGAGCTGTTTTAAAATCTATTCTCTGAGCCACAGGAAGCACACTGGACTAATGTGATGGTACTTCCTGGTTCTAATCATGACTAATGTGATGGTACTTCCTGGTTCTAGTCAGGACTCGACTGGACTCATTGCCCCACGTGGCCTTTTACTGTATTGCGTCCGTAAATTTAAACCAGCAGTAAAATATGTACGTACAACAGCCGTAATAACACTGCTATGAGCGGCCGGGCCATAGATTTTACAGGCTGCTCAATGAAGTCCAAAGTGGAAGTGCTCATGGACAAAGTTTTGCTCCAACTCACTCCGGCTCCCATTGACTCCTCAGTAACAGTTTGTGCCACCGCTATGGGCTTTAGAATCTTCATTTTTATTTTGATAATATTTTTTTGGTCAATCCTCCAGTAAAGGAGGCAATAAGAGTAAAGGAAACTCCAGCTTTCCTTATCAAACTGTCTTAGCTGCAGGTGTTAGCTACTAATATTTACCGTCTATGTTTACGGCGCGACCAGAAACTCCAGCTCGCTTTTGTTCAAATCAGCTTCTTCCACTTTAGCCAAACAATATGGATGACATCAGCACTCGGTCAGTCCAGTCCAGTCGCTAGGTGTAAATTGGGGTTAGCTTGGTATGCTACAGGGTAGTATTCTGTCAAAGGTTTTATGCTAGAACAATAATGAATGAAATTTTTGCTGGGTCTCTGTCCAAAATGTAATCTGGATTGGTACAAGTTCCACATCAAGCCGGTGGATCATTCCCCGCGGTCGGATTCTCAGTCACAGAAGTGTTATTTTCTCTTCCTGCTGTTTTCTATGAATTCACAATCCACAAAATAACCATAAACTTTTGGGAAATGAAAACGTAGATCTAGGACATATAAAAAACATGGGACGTCAGAATCCAAACTATTGTATCGCCGTTGTAAGTAACTGGAATCAGCTAGGGCTAGGAATTTGATTATGGTTCAATCACTTAAGGGTTAAAAAATATATTCTTTGAGGCATGATAACAGATATGAATGCAATTTTAGCATACAAACACACACAATAGACACACAACAGAGCAGGTTTTCATAATGGCGGAAAATATAAGATCATTTTTTTGCACGACTCTAGATGATTTTAGCCCAACTTCTTTTACCAAGCTCACCGGTGAGTTTGTTTGACTAAAAGGACATTATAGACATGTGTATTGTCTATATTTTCAGCCATGTCCATAACTAAATCTGTGAAACCCTTTCATATCACTACTTTACCCCGGCTGTTCCCAATCCCAGGTCAAGAACGTCCCAAAAACAGTCCATAACCCTTTTTCTAGCCCCATCTAATTAAATGCACTGAAGTTCTGGCCCAGTCTTCTCCGCAAGAATCCTCCCAAAGATGCGCTTTGTCGTTTGTTATTTCGGATTTAACTTATTGTTTATTTATTTCACTCATTCTTGCGTAGGCTTTTCCGAAGTAGAAGCGGTACGTGGCTATATTTTTTGTCCTCAATCATATTGCATTGATGTCATTTTTGTACATAAAATTTTGACAAGCTTTTTTTTAGTGTTGTGTGAACGTCAGCTGCGCACATATCAACACATGAAGCTTGAGTCCTCCTGGTACTCTTCAAATGTCTGCCTTTATTTTTTTGTATCTATTTTTCCAGTATACTTTGTAATGTGCAAATTTGTTTAAAAAAAAAAAGGATAATTGATCTTTGCCGTGCACAGAATCGCTGGAGGACATTTGTGTGAAAGTGTTACTGTGGTTCTAGTAGGAACAAACTGACTAGTCTTTCTAACCAACAAAAAGAAGAAAACCTAACGACTTCATGTGGCGCAATAAACTTGTTTCAATGGAAATGTGTTTTTTTTTCTGTTATTCACTCATTTTCATCCCCTTTGTTAGTCCATATCTGGGTCGGGGGCGATCAGAGTTGCCACGCAAGTCTCAAAGCACCAGTCTCTCTGATCCTGCTGCAGGGTCAGAGGGACGGGGGGTGTTTGAGGCTTTAGAGCAAAGTAGGGTTAGTGGAGCAGTATGTTTTTTTAAAAATGTGGCCAAAAGTGGTACTGCAGCCTCTCCCACTCTCAGTGACTCAGGTTGCCAGATATGCAGACGAATCCAGCTGGGACCATAACAGCTGAATAGACAAGATTTCTGTCAACAACAAATCTAAGATCGAAATCCTGGTTTAATTCCTTGTGAGACCTTTTTTAGTTCTGCGCCACATGGTACTTTACCTGTGAGATTAGCTCGACACGGTGAGTTCTGGCAACCCGGGTTACGGACTTTCTGATTGGTGAAACGGTGGAGGGCGGGAAATCGAAATTAAAACATTAAGATTTAAGGGCTGTAAAACTAATTAAGTTAAAGTTAAATGACAATTCAGAAAATTATAAATTGTACGGACTGAACCCACGAGCTTCAGACATTAAAATCTGTAATTATCTCTAGGCTTCAACTCGTAACATGTCAAACATAACACAAAGTCAAACATAACATTACTAAAACTTAACTTAAGCTTAATACAGTTTTAAAAGGGGCTGAAAGAAGCAGTTTTGCCCCTCATCTGCACACACACACATAGGGGTCGCACACAGGGGTCGCACAGGCCAATGCTGAGGTCAACAATGCACTTAATATTTTATGCACTTTATATGAATAACCAACAAGGCGAACCTGACCCCGATGCAATAAATTATCCCAATTATTATGCAGCTATCTGCGAACTGAACACAAAATAAACTTCAATCCACTATAATGAATGCAGAAAGGTTTATTTACTGACTGCAAATGAATACGTTCCCTGTTACTAGCCTAGCCTAGTGCAGACTGTAAATATTCCATCCATCCATTTTCTACCCTTTAATCCATTTCTGGGTCAGGGGGGTGGCAGTCAGAGATGCCACCCAAGTCTCATAGCACCAGCCCCTCACTGACCCTCTGCAGGTGGTGAGTCCACAGGAGGACGGCTGCTCTCTGAGTGTGAGCATAGCCTTGATCTTTCAGTGGGGGCTTTGGGCAAAGTGGGGTTAAGTGTCTTGCCCAAGGACACAACGACAGCAGTCATCAGTGGGAGTCGGTGGAGAAGGTGTAGAGGTGGGAATTGAACCCACGACCTTCAGGCCTGAAGGCCAATGCTCTACCAACTGAGCTACTGTCGCCCGACTGACTGTAAATATTGACGGACGTAAACACGCCTATCTTTGCCGTTGAAACTAATGTGCCATCACTTTTGCCGTCTGTGGGCTTTTATGTATTTTAAATAATGAAATTGCGCATGCGTTAGCTGCACTAACCCCATTCATTTAATGAGTGCATTCTAAAGTCCACATCGGCTAAACTAGACTGGTCCAAAAGAAAATCCTCCCCTCAGCATCCACAGCATCTGGAACATAGCGTTGGACCCAGAACCACTTTTGGCCCAAGAGTCATTTTTGGACCATCCTGTAAAGACTTTTTTGAGCGGACGCCATACAAAGGCATTGGGTAATTCTCTTTCCAGGTACACCCCCACCAGCTGGGAGTGTGTTTGCAAACATGTCAGCGCACATGTTCATGGACCTTTTGGAGCCGGGACCCGCCCACACTGGTGGCTAGGCGAGTAACGGCTAGGCTAGCTACTTATTAATATCAAACACACACGGAAGAGCTGTATAATAAAAACGTCCAAAAACATGGAAATACACATGTTTTTTCAGTGCATAAATACATCATGCAGCAAATATAACCATGAACGTCCAGGTCTCACACATCTAGGCAGTGATTAATACGGTGCAAACCTCCAGCTCCTACTAACCCAGTGATCCACATCGAGCAGGTGCTGTTTTGATGGCTCTACAGTCTTTGTGCTCCACTGGGAGGAGTCTTATTACCACGTACTAAAAATGGAAAATAGTAAGTGCTAGCCCGGGCTTCGCAGCTTAAGACCGCAGCTACATTAGACGGTAATAGCAGGACTCCTGTGGCTGATGGGACTATGGAGACTTAGCACCGGCTGGAAGAGCTGCAAAAGTCTGAAGTTACAAGATGAGATTGTCTCCAAGAGGCAATAAGCCAGGGGTATTTATGGGCAACATCATAAGGGCCTATTTATAACTAAGAGGTATATGTTACAAAAATGACGGAGCAGTGATGACAGAATGTGGTGGTCACATTAGTAAACATGAGGCCATCAAAATACTTGTGGTTTGACTGGAAAGAAACAGAAAGCATTTCCAACATCAGGACACGAACTGGCCCAATGAAAGGCTTTAGGTTCATTACAACTGAAAAACTTAACGTCCAAACTACACAAAAAACATTGAAAATCCTTTAAGTTTCACCAGTTTTCACATGGAAGTATTGTGGGCCTTTGACAAATATTTGAGTCAACTTGTTCCGAACAGAAAAGTGAAAAATCAGCTCTAAGTCCAAAGTATTACATGATTACAGTGCTCTCAGTTTTCAAGAGTTTTACTTTTGCAATAACTCTTTCTGTAAAACTACATATTTTGTGAGTAAAAAAGTGGGAACTCCAGCTTTAACTTCAACCCAGCTAATGTACAGTATTAAACGTATTGTTAAAATAGTAATGATTCAATTGTGTGATTGCTTACATTATTGTATTGTATGACGCTGACAGCCTTGTGCAGGAGTTACTCGTTCTATTGGTTGGATGACACTATCAAAGGGCCTTAGCAGCACAGAGGGCCGCATTTGGCCCACGGGCCTGAGTTTGGACATGCCTGATGCAGTGAGTGGACGGTGACGGTCAGAGGCTTCTACTTCAAGTTCTATGTGTGACCTTGGATCTGTGAAATGCACTAAATAAACATAGATTACTTCCTGTAAAATGCACTAAATAAATACATATCACTCACTGACTTACGCTGGTGTCGGTACCATAAACCTCTGAGCCTGTTTTAAAGGACTCTCTCCATGGCTGAGCCTCAGAGCCTGTTTTCTGTTTTGTAGCCTCACCATCGTCTCAAACAGATGGTTCAATCTAGATCTATGTCCATATCTTGCACTTCATTTCCCAGCAGCCCTTGAGCTTGTCATCAGGTGCCAGCTCAGGTGCTAACAGTGAGCTGTCGACACTGGGGACCTGTGTTCTCTCACACTTCAGCCTGGAGCACTTTGAACCACTTTCTATGAACCACTTTCTATGAACCACTTTCTATGAACCACTTACTTTCTACAGTAACGCCTGATGTCATGAAAAAAACATCTAATTCTTTTAAATAAAATCCAGATGAGAATGTGTTCCGTCAACATCACGGTGGGTTTTTGATCTGATTCCTCTCACCTCATGTTTCATTTGTTCTGAGCAGAAACAGTCTGGACCTTCTTCAACCAGAACCGGTGTAGAACACTTTGAAAAGCTACTCTGTTCCAGAAATGTTTTTAAACTTGCATTTGGATAAATCATTGACTGCATCTTTAAAGGAGCTGTGTTTAAAAATGTGGCCAAAAGTGGTACTGCAGCCTCTCCCACTCTCCCTGACTCAGGTTGCCAGATATGCAGACGAATCCAGCTGGGACCATAACAGCTGAATAGACAAGAGTTTTGTCAACAACAAATCTATAACCGACACCTTTTTCACAAAGATAGAAATCCTGGTTTTATTCCTTGTTTTGTCGTTAATGATTTGAGAATCATAACGAGACCTTTTTTAGTTCTGCGCCACATGGTCCTTTACCAGTGAGATTAGCTCCACGCGGTGAGTTCTGGCGCCTGGATCACGGACTTCTAGGGGCTGTAAAACTAATTTTGAAACTCAAATATCCCTGAACTATGGTTATCAGTTAAAAAGGTATTGGAAAGAGCATGTTTTATTAATGCCTTTGAACAGATTAGGGCCCTTTAATAATGACAGATTAGGGCCCTTTAATCATAACTTACTTGACATTAAAATCTTACATATTGCTGCTTTAAACGTCTTTGGTCCTGGGCTGTGTCATGTAGGTCAACGCGGTCCTATCTCCAGACTGATTGTGAGACTTAATCTGACATAAACACCATTCTTTTGCTATTTTTATCCACGCGTGATCCCGGTCGTGCGGAGAGAACCCTGCAGCTGCTCCTCTCCTCATGCCTCCTCCAGAAGTCCAACGCAGACCATACTTCTACTCCTCTCACCTCTTTATTAAGCCAGACTCTGTGAGAAAGTGTGCAGGCTGAGAGCAAGCGGCTGCCAGATATGAGGGAACAGTCCAGCCGCTGATGTCCGCTGTGGAAATCTCTGCTGGTTTTTCAAAAGTGGAGCACGAGCCTGAAGGATGTGAGAAACTGCTCTGAGAGAGAGACAGAGGGAACATGGAGCAGGTGCATCATGGGTAAGAACCAAAACTACTGCCATTTTCCCCACACAAGTCAGATATGATATGGCACAGGGAATACATGTAATGGGGAGTATAATCTGGGGTTTAGAAATGAAAAATGTGAATGTTTTGTGATTCAAGAGAGATCATAATATACAGAACATATCTCTCACTCTCTTTCTGTGAGTAAATACACTGAAAACAGTAAACTATTGGGGAGAGAAAAAAGTTTTTAAGCTTGTTTTAAGTATTTTTTCCCTAACCTTTGTTCAGATAAAATAAGTTTGTGATGCTATATTTTCAAGACAAAAAACCTCAAAAACGTGTAAGAAATAAGTAAATAACAGTTGAAATGTATGTCTTTAAAATAGAATCAAGTCATTGGGCAGTATTGTTTTCTTATTTTCAGAAAGTCATTTTTTCTCGTTCTATTGTCTCATAATTTTTTTGTATTTTTTACGCAGTATTTTCATTATTTTCATGTATGTTTTTGTTATAATTTTTTTTAATCGGATTTTTATTTTTGCTATAAATCCAGCACTTTAGCTCGTGTGTGTTAAACCAGATAAAAAAAAAAAAAAAAATCACAATAATTTTTTATTGGGATTTTATTTTTGCATTACATCCAGCACTTTAGAACGTGTAGGATCATATTTATAATTAATAATAATAATTAAAAAAAACATATTTCATAATTATTTTGTATGGGATATTAAGAACGTGTTTGTTAGACCATATTAAAACAAAATATATTTCATAATTATTTATTTATGGGATATTTATTTTAACAATAAATCCAGCTCATTAGAACGTGTTGGACCAGATTTAAAAAACAACCCCCCCCCCCAAAAAAAACATATTTCATCATAAACTCCTGATGTACCGTGTAGAATAGATTAAGGTCAGAGTCCCAGAAGGGCCCGGTCCTAAACCCAGACCAGATCAAAACAAGGCCCACATGCGCCACATCCATCAGCCGCTGAAGGTGCAGTGTTCTCAGGTCGCCTCAGCAGCTGCTCGTCGGCGCTGACACCACCGTGATCTACAGCTCCGTCAGAAATAGCCTGAAGGTGTGAGGTGGCCCCTGTGGAAGATCAAACAAGGCCGTCCAAGCCTTTTTAGTTCTGTTCATGTAGGATTTTCCTCTGATTTATACAGAATATTTTTTATTATCACAATTCCTACGCACGGCTGAACAAAACAAGATAGAAATAGGCACACAAGGCTGTTTCTTATCACAGTACTTTACAAAGAAAATTCTATAATCCTTCAGTTCTAGCTCAGATAAAAATAACTGTTTTTAACCTGGATTTAAACTTTGTCAAAGAAGAAGCCTGTCTCAGATTTTCAGGAAGATTGTTCCAGATTTTAGCAGTATGAATCTGAAATGCAGCCTACCTGTGTTTAGTCCTGACTCTGGGACCAGCAGGAGGCCAGTCCCTGTGCTCCTCAGAGTCCCAGCAGGAGGCCAGCCCCTGTGCTCCTCAGAGTCCCAGCAGGAGGCCAGCCCCTGTGCTCCTCAGAGTCCCAGCAGGAGGCCAGCCCCTGTGCTCCTCAGAGTCCCAGCAGGAGGCCAGCCCCTGTGCTCCTCAGAGTCCCAGCAGGAGGCCAGTCCCTGTGCTCCTCAGAGTCCCAGCAAGAGGCCCGTCCCTGTGCTCCTCAGCGTCCCAGCAGGAGGCCAGTCCCTGTGCTCCTCAGAGTCCCAGCAGGAGGCCAGTCCCTGTGCTCCTCAGAGTCCCAGCAAGAGGCCCGTCCCTGTGCTCCTCAGCTTAATAAAGATTGCTCATGTTAAAGCTGGGGGACCTAACATTATGTTCTGATGTTAAATACAGTAAGATCCTTGTGAAAGTAAAATGTTAGGAACATACTCAGACCACAAGATACGGTCTTTCTCTGATTATCTTTTGCATACTTGTAAGAGAGCCCTGTGAGTCACTTTTTGAGGCTTTGGGTTGAGAGCTGATTGGCTGAGAGAGAGGGAGGCAGTCCCTTTTTCATGTTTTTATCTGAAAAATCTGATCAGCTTGACAACACCATCACTAAGGCCAGGACGGAGTCTATGGATTTTATCATTTCACCGATTTGATATGTGTGTGTGTGTCTGTGTGCGTGTGTGCGTCTGTGTATGTATGTGTGTGTGTCTGTGTGTATGTGTATGTCTATGTGTATGTGTATGTCTATGTGTATGTGTATGGGCCTGTGTGAGTGTGTGTGTGCGTGTGTGTGTGTGTGTGTGTGTGTGCGTGTCTGTGTGTGTGTATGTGCGTGTGTGTGTGTGTGTGTGTGCGTGTCTGTGTGTGTGTGTGTGTGCGTGTCTGTGTGTGTGTGTGTGTAGAGGACAGGAGGCCGGGTCGGTGGGAGGCCTGCAGCAGCTGGGGCCCCGGGACAAACGGAGCACAGAGGACTCCAGAGAATACTGTTCTGGTACAGCGCTCGTTACTGCTGCTTCACTCGCTCCTCGCTCTGATGTAAAACTCAGATCCTCACAAAGAGAACGTGACCATTGTGAGAGAAAGACACACACTTTTGTCCAGCGAGAGGCAGCTACACACACGACTACTCTCTGAGACAGGCAGCCGAAGGACACACACGGGTTCAGTCACTTTTTTTAGGGCCCTAATCTGTCATCATTAAAGGGCCCTAATCTGTCATCATTTAAGGGCCCTAATCTGTCATCATTAAAGGGCCCTAATCTGTCATCATTTAAAGGCTCTAATCTGTCATCATTAAAGGGCCCTAATCTGTCATCATTAAAGGGCCCTATTCTGTCATCATTAAAATTGCCCTAATCTGTCATCATTAAAGGGCCCTAATCTGTCATCATTAAAGGGCCCTAATCTGTCATCATTAAAGGGCCCTAATCTGTCATAATTTAAGGGCCCTAATCTGTCATCATTTAAGGGCCCTAATCTGTCATCATTAAAGGGCCCTAATCTGTCATCATTAAAGGGCCCTATTCTGTCATCATTAAAATTGCCCTAATCTGTCATCATTAAAGGGACCTAATCTGTCATCATTAAAGGGCCCTAATCTGTTCAAAGGCTTTAATAAAACATGCTCTTTTCCAATTCTTCTTTAACTGATAACAGTAGTTCAGAAATATTTGAATTTCTAAATTACTTTTACAGCCTCTAAATCTTGTTATTGTTTTCATTTCAATCAGAAGAACTCACTGCGTCGAGCTGATCTCACTGGTAAAGTCCCATGTCGCTGCTGAACTAAAAAAATATCTGGTTTACTCTTTGGTCGACCTTGGAGCGAATAGAAGTGGGTAACTATATTCACCATCGTCACCAAAACCATATGTACCGTTCCAGGAGGATACCATCCGGTGCAAACTGGTGATGTGTTCAACAGCACGTACCAGGTGTTGTCCAAACTGGGCTGGGGGTATTATGCCACGGTCTGGCTCTGTCTGGACCTCAGGTACGCTGGATCAGAGAGTAAGACCTCTTTGATTCTTTTGGTCCATTTTCTGATTTAATGAATGAAGCTCCAGCCTGTTATAAAGCTGTTACTGACAGTCTCTGGATCTTTCTGCAGGTCGAGTAAACACGTGGCAGTGAAGGTTCTGAAGAGCGGCCCTGGGTTTGCTCAAGCTGGACTCGATGAACTGTCTCTGCTCAGATGTGTGAGAATATCTTATCGTTATTCACTCCATTCAGTCTTAATCTCATATTTTCTTTGTTTCTTTGCTCAGGCGGGCAGTGCCACACATCGTCACCTCCACAGCCAGAGGATAGTCCGACTGTTGGATGAATTCAAAGTGGTCGGGATCAATGGAGTCCGTACCTTTCTGAAAGCAGAGCACACATAGTTTATAAAGTGTGTATCTAAAACATACAACTACATGTTGTCCTTAACATAACATCAGACATGTGTCTGGTCCTGGAGCTGCTGGGACCTAGTCTGAGGAGTGTATTGTGGGACTGTGGGACCCCGGGACTGCCCCGGACTGTGGTCAGACCGATCCTGACTCAGGTCAGATCCTCAGGCAGAAAACACACTACACACAGTAAGACACACTACACACAGTAAGACACACTACACACAGTAAGACACACTGCTGCACTGTTCTGTGTGTGTGGTGTGTGTGTGTGTTTGTGTGTGTGTGCAGGTCTTGCAGGGTCTGTCTTATCTCCACTCTCAGTGTAAGATCATCCACACAGACGTCAAACCAGAAAACATCCTTCTGTGTGACAACCACCACAACTCTCCACCAGGGGGCACCGGCAGCTCCTCAGTCCACTCCATCAACAACAACTTGACAGGTAATGTATGTGGGATGTAATCTTGTACAACAACAACAACAACTTATTCTTGTATTGCATTAAATCACGACAGAAGTCATCTTCAGAAGAGACTTCACAAAACCATTGAAATCACCAACACAGATCAGAGAACCAACAAATAAACACATATGAATTGGTCCGTAGGGAGAAACCAATGTCCATGAATGTTGCAGTTATCTAATGACCATTAACTTACCTTTCTTACTATGTGGCTGTCCATGTTTACGATCTCAGCTCTTACCTTTCCATTAAAGTCGCAATATGTAAGATTTTCATTTCAAGTCATTGTGTCTTGTCTATTCAGCTGTTATGGTCCCAGCTGGATTCGTCTGCATATCTGGCAACCTGAGTCAGGGAGAGTGGGAGAGGCTGCAGTACCACTTTTGGCCAGATTTGTACATACTGCTCCTTTAACCCTCCCCCATTGTCTGCACTCTTATACTATATTATACTATCCTATACTGTACAGTACTTTACTACAATACTCTACTATACTATCGCAACCTTCCTGCTAACAATGAGCACATTACTGCGTCCGTGTCCGTGTTCTCTCTCCTGCCTCCTCTCTGTACCTTTGCACCCTTCCGTACTGATGCACTATTCCTGTCCGTACCAGTGCTTTTTCTTTTGTGAGCAGAGGTTGATTTAAACACACATCCGACTGATAATTCTCTTTTGTGCTGCAGCTGGAGACCAGATGTCTCTCCGCAGTCTGAAGCAGATTGAAGTGAAGATTGCTGACCTGGGCAGCTCCTGTTGGGTGGTCAGTACTTCTCTGTTTGGCGCCGAGTGAAATTCAGTGGAAGAATAATGTAGGCGGGAGAAACATGAGGGGGCTTCTGCAGAGGGCTTGTCACGGGGGCTGTGACTTATGGATTAGGCCTTCTAATAAGGCACACAGCGGCTTACTGGATTAGTGTATGGGAAATATTCCAATTAGAAACACAGATTTGTTTACATTTCTTGGCTGATGTTATGAAGATGATTAAGGGAAAATATCCTTAGAAAACCAACAAATGTGGTTCTGATTAAATGTGTCTCTCTATGAGCAGTACAAGCACTTCTGTGAGGAGATCCAGACCCGGCAGTACCGCTCTCTGGAGGTTCTCGTGGGACTGGACTACGGCCCTCCAGCTGACGTCTGGAGTGTGGCCTGCATGGTCAGATTGTTCTTCATTCGTTGTTTATAAACCCAAAGCAAATTCCAAGTTTCTGTGTTTATATTTTTCACTGAGAATGGCAAATAAACTAGATGTGAGGTGTAACATAAGGCCGCTCTCCTGCACAGGCTTTTGAGCTGCTAACGGGAGACTCTCTGTTCGAGCCCAAACCAGCAGACTCCTATTCTCTGGAAGAAGGTATTTGGGATTATATGTCTTATTATACTTCTCATGTGACTTAAAGGTGCAGGTTAGCTTAGCATTAGCATCCGAGTATCACAGAGTATAAACCCTACACCTCCCCCCTGCCCTCCACCAAACCCAACCCCAGCACATGAACGTGTTTCTGTAATAACACAGTCTGTGACGAAGCCTGAGCTTGAAATGTGAAAGTATTACTCTACATTAGGCTCAAGTCTGTGAGTGGTTAGCCTGCTATACTTGACACATGCTAGCTTCACCTAACAAACTAGCAATTAGCAAAACTTGACTGCGGATCCATTACAGAGCCCTGGCTGCGTCCCGAGTCTTATTATAGATAGATAGATACTTTATTGATCCCCGTCGGAGAAATTCAGGTGTCCAGTAGCAGCAAAAAAAAAAAAAAATCCTTCAAAAAAGTTAACAATAGTAATAGTAGTAAGTTTTTATTTATATACCGCCTTTTCACTGCAGATCTGAGTCTCAAAGTGGTTTACAATCGTTAATTATGAGCATTTGTCTCTCACTCCACACAGAGATGGGAGCGGGGCCAGTACAGGAAGCACATGCTAGAACTATTGGACATATTTTTAGTGGTAGGGGAAACCGGAGTACCCGGAGGAAACCTACGCAGACACGGGGAGAACATGCAAACTCCACTCAGAAAGGCCCTGGTCCAACCGGGATTCGAACCCAGGACCTTCTTGCTGAGAGGCGAGAGTGCTATCCACTCAGCCACCGTGCCGTAGTAATTATTGGCGTAATAATAAATAGTAAGAATCATTATACGACGATGATCTGATTTTCTCTTTTTTTGCCACAACCGGCGAGTGGCAAACATTAAGTCATTACTTTGGGGTTTTTTGGTTCAGTCATTGTAGGTGTTTTATAAAATCCAACTCAATAACAACTTAGATAGGTGCACGCCAGAGGGGGCGGGTCCCGGCTCTAGAGCATGAGCTGCAATCTCATTCCTACACGGTGGGGGTGTACCCAGAAAGAGAATCACCCAATGCTTTTCTATGGCATCTTCTTTCCTCTTGAAAACGTCTTTAGAGGATGGTCCAAAAGTTACTCTTGGTCCAACGCTCGATCCAGATGCTGTCGATGTTGAGGGGAGGTTGCTTTTGGACCAGTCTAGTTTAGCCGCTGTGGAATTTTAAATGAATTCGTTAAATGAATGAGGCTAGTGCAAGTAACACATGTGCAAATGTGTTTTTACTCATTTTCCTTCCCCGCGGCCATTTTGAAAAAGCCCACAGAAGGCGAAAGTGGTGGCACATTAGTTTTAACGAAGGCCTCCCATTGGATTTGTTCTATCGGTTCCAAGCTATTTATGTTGTATTTTTTTAGGTTACATCCGGTCGTGCCCATTCCTGTTTGAAAACTCATCATAACGACTACTTTTGGGGTTTAGGGACAATTCCCCACAGTATTTTAAAAACAGCTTCTGGTTTAATCATTGACAGCATCTATAAATGTGACTTTATCATAACTCTTTATGTATTAATTATTTGTGTTATTATTTGATGTATTATTCATAGTACCATAGTACCATAAGAGCATTGATTTTCTTTCTCCCTTTCAGATCATATCGCCCAGATAATGATGCTGCTGGGTAAAATCCCACCAGCTATCGCTCTGATGGGAAAATACTCTGCAGAGTACTTCAACCGCAGAGGTCACTAATCAGAAGTATTCCTAAAACTAAATTGTACATCGAACCTGCAGCATTTCATGTTCTAGAGGTCTATTTCAGTCAAAGAGCAGACGCCAAGTCTAAGGAAGAGCAGTGTTTTTATTAGTAAGAATTGTTTTCCATTGTTGGATTGTGATTAGATTCACAAATCCAGTATTTTATTATTTATTATTTATCATGAATGTCTTTGGAACAAGACTTGGAGAAACCTTTATGAGCCAATAATTAGACCATAGTGGATATGTTCTGACAACAAAAATATGTGGAACTTTGAACTTTTTAAAACAAAGGAAGACTGCTCACCCGTCATCTGTACTTCAGCAGGTTTTCCCTTCGTTTCATTCTTAGTCCAAAGAACTTTCTCAAAGAAGATGGAAGCTCAGCTGCGAGTTGGAGATGAATAACCTGTGGGTGTGGTTAGACCCCTCTGATCCTGAGGCTAACTCATTAACACATCTAAGGTCTGCTAAGATGTGGTGGGCAGCAGGTCTGACGGTCCTTCTCGGTCTAACGATCATACTCGGTCTAACGATTCTGATTGGTCTACCGATCCTGCATCATTATCATGTCACTATTGTCTGCTTAGAGCTCGTATGGAGGGCAGGTCTAACGATCCTGTTCGGTCTAACGATTCTGTTCGGTCTAACGATTCTGTTCGGTCTAACGATCCTGTTCGGTCTAACGATCCTGTTCGGTCTAACGATTCTGTTCGGTCTAACGATCCTGTTCGGTCTAACGATTCTGTTCGGTCTAACGATCCTGTTCGGTCTAACGATTCTGTTCGGTCTAACGATCCTGTTCGGTCTAACGATTCTGTTCGGTCTAACGATCCTGTTCGGTCTAATGATCCTACCTCAATAGCACTTCTCTATTGTTGGGTGTTGTTTTAAGGATGTCGTCATAGATGAAAGAGAAAACAAATCTTAATCCGCCTCTGTTAAGGGATGGTTTGTGTTTTCTCAAAAATGGCTTCTTTCACGCCTTTCTAATACCAATTTTTGTCTCGAGCCAGAATTTTAACCTCTGTGTTGTTTACGGTGTGATTGGTGGCCTTGAGATGGAAATGTGTAGCTGATTGTGGCCCACTCGACCGAGAGCTTGAACAGATTTAGGACTTTTTGAATTATATTATGCAGTTTTCGTCATAGTTTGGCCGCCACAGTCATGGTCTTGAGCGACATATGTGTGAAATTATTACATTTCAAATTTTACATTTTATATTTTATTTACCATAAACTATCAAACAATGACCCGGGCTATTAATTTAAGGGAATAATAATATTTGTGTCTTAGCATTATTGTTCTTTTTTGGCCATCAAAACCCACAAGCTTTGTACAAATAAGACTTAACTCCAGTACGACTCATGTGTTTTTTTTCCTTCTTTATTATGCATTTTTGACTGGTGCGACTTACTCCGGAGCTACTTATTATCCGAAAAATACGGTACCATAGTTACAAGGAAAGATGTTTTCAGCTGTCATACACCACAATCATAAACAAAGATAAGATAACCTTTATTGATCTCACAGTGGAGAAATGTACATGTCACATTTGGCGCAGATAGAATCACTCAGACTGTGCAAAAGACAGAAGAGTGCAACATGTTTAAGATTAAAAATATAGGCACTTAAGGAATGTTGTGATGTCACATGGAGGCAAACTACAGCCTTCTTCTTTGTGGTCCCATGCAGGAGATTTGCTGAGAGTGGGTAAAGTGAAGTCGTGGAAACTGTATGACGTCCTGGTGGAGAAATACCACTTCCTGCTGAAGGAGGCGTCGGACTTGTCAGACTTCCTGTTGCCCATGTTGGAATATTACCCTGAGAGAAGGGCAACTGCCGCACAATGCCTCCAACACCCCTGGCTCTCCTCGTCCTGACCACAACCGCACCCTCAGCCTTTACTCAGCTCAGGCTCATGTGTAAAAGGTGCTACGTACTCTGTTTCTAATGCTTCATCTTTGTACTGTATCATCATGCACTTTATCCAACTGTCCATGCAGAGAATAAGTTAGTCTTGTTTTCATATTTTGATTTGTACAGTAAATACCATATAAGGTCGATGTGTTTTTTATTTTTTATTATCGTTTAATTAAATCTTAAATACCAGCCAAAGCCGCTCCTGTTTCCTACACTAATGCACAACACAGATTCTGAATTCATGGACAGTTTAGCCCAACATACCCACAATATATACTTTATAAGCACAGAAAGGTAAAAAAATGTGGAGTTGCCAAAGTAATGAAGCTGAAGGCGCAAATTCAGACTGAAAGACCGAGCGCAACTCCCCCCATCCAGGCCAGCCAATCACACAGCTCTGCCAGCCTCGAGCCTCAGCCAATCACACAGCTCTGCCAGCCTCGAGCCTCAGCCAATCACTCAGCTCTGCCACCCTCGAGCCTCAGCCAATCACACAGCTCAGCCAATCACTCAGCCCGGCCAGCCTCGAGCCTCAGCCAATCACACAGCTCTGCCAGCCTCGAGCCTCAGCCAATCACTCAGCCCGGCCAGCCTCGAGCCTCAGCCAATCACACAGCCCGGCCAGCCTCGAGCCTCAGCCAATCACACAGCTCTGCCACCCTCGAGCCTCAGCCAATCACACAGCCCGGCCAGCCTCGAGCCTCAGCCAATCACACAGCCCGGCCAGCCTCGAGCCTCAGCCAATCACACAGCTCTGCCACCCTCGAGCCTCAGCCAATCACACAGCCCGGCCAGCCTCGAGCCTCAGCCAATCACACAGCTCTGCCACCCTCGAGCCTCAGCCAATCACACAGCCCGGCCAGCCTCGAGCCTCAGCCAATCACACAGCCCGGCCAGCCTCGAGCCTCAGCCAATCCACACAGCTCTGCCAGCCTCGAGCCTCAGCCAATCACACAGCTCTGCCACCCTCGAGCCTCAGCCAATCACACAGCCCGGCCAGCCTCGAGCCTCAGCCAATCACACAGCCCGGCCAGCCTCGAGCCTCAGCCAATCACACAGCTCTGCCAGCCTCGAGCCTCAGCCAATCACACAGCTCTGCCACCCTCGAGCCTCAGCCAATCACACAGCCCGGCCAGCCTCGAGCCTCAGCCAATCGCACAGCCCGGCCAGCCTCGAGCCTCAGCCAATCACTCAGCCCGGCCAGCCTCGAGCCTCAGCCAATCACACAGCTCTGCCACCCTCGAGCCTCAGCCAATCACACAGCCCGGCCAGCCTCGAGCCTCAGCCAATTGCACAGCCCGGCCAGCCTCGAGCCTCAGCCAATCACTCAGCCCGGCCAGCCTCGAGCCTCAGCCAATCACACAGCTCTGCCACCCTCGAGCCTCAGCCAATCACACAGCCCGGCCAGCCTCTTGCCAACCCTCTGACAGCAAAGTGGGCAGTTTAAAAGGCAGCCACTTCCTGCAAACCAGCGCTTCCTGAAGCTCTTAACACCCAGCGCCTCCCCAGCGCCTCCTCTGGCTCCTGCCTGATCAATGCGCCAAATAAATACATCTTTTTAATGTATTAATGATCTGTCTTTGGTCTCTTCAGATTTAATTTCCTTTTGTAAACAGACTCCATCATAAACAATGTCGTTCAGCATGTTTCGATCAATAGTATTTTGACACAACTGTATTGTAAGTAAATATTCCAAATGCATCAGACTCTATTTGATCTGCAAACTCTCTCCCCATAATTCATCTTTCTCCAACACCCATCTTAAATCTAGAGGTTCCCAGAGCAAAGGGTGATAATAATATCACAGTACAGACCCGGGTGCTCTACATGTTTTACAGTAAACACAAAGATATGAGATCCTTTATTTGTTGTGTTGCCGCGCACGTTACAGAGCAGGATTCAAGATTGTATTTTCCATTTGCAGTAAAACCACATTGGAATAACTGTGCAAGACTACACCAGTGTGCACCAGACAGAACACAGCACACACCAGAGCTCTGGACACGGATTATAAAAGGAACAAAAGAAACTAAATAAAGCTAAATACATTTGAAGTTACTATTGTCACCATTAATAGTGGATTAATAGTCCAACATTTTGTAGTAGAATATAATAAATATTAGCCTGGTCGTACCATACCATAGTACAAATTACATTTCGTACTAAGGTCTGGATTTTCTCCATTGATTCCGTTAACAGGTGGGAGGGGCTAACTCCTTTTGCAGATTGAAACGATTGAATCTGAGTTTACCGTGATGTATGTGGTGCGCCCGAGTGTGTTGTTAGCATTTAGCCTAGCTTTAGCCATCTCCTTTGCCGTTAACGGAGCCCGTGGGGAGTAGCGCCACAATCTTTAATTTGCTAAACATTCCTCTTGCTCTGGCTTCAATTTCTTGATAGAACCAGACCGGATTACTTTACTATCGCATTCTTCGCCATAACCAAACTACAACCTGCCCGTTCGGCGCAAACTCTTGACGTCACCCACAGCTAACTACAACACCCGCCTCCCGCGCTCTCCGATTGGTCGGATGGAATTCAACTGATTGTAAAACACAGGGACCAGACCCAGACGTTACATGCAGGAAATGATTGAGTGCAGTGTACGGATGGATAAGACCAGGCTAGATGAATATGTACTGTGATTTAATACCAAACATATATAATTTTATATTTGTACTTTGCAAGTTTAGATTAAAAATAGGGTGCCAGAGTTTCAAATGACAAAAAAGTTTAGTTTTATCACTGGCTTTTTCATGTATGTATTATTATGTACACTTTTTACTTAAATCTTTAGATCACCTTCTTCAAAAGTCAAAACCAATCAATCTCACTCAATTAGCTGCGAGTCCAAAGCATCAAAATAGTGACTGTGAATGTAAAATATTACACCTTTAAATTTTCAAACAAGATGAAATCAGAAAAACAATAAAAACCTCTGCTTTAAAAGGTATTTAGGAGGATTTTCCCAAATTTTAGAAAAGAACCGCCTTAAACAAAACTCTCTGGTCTTATTGGACGAGCACGTATCACCGGAATGATTGACAACTGGGAGGACCAATAGTCTTGACGATCCACCCGGAAGTATTGATTATCCTCCTACTGTATATACCTTTAATACCCTGTTCGCTTGTCCACAAAATAAGTACAATAAAAAGCAAGTAAGTACAAAGTTAAAATGGCAGAATAAACTTGGCTCTCGACCCAAATAACAGACTTCATTCTCAGTCCATATCCTTCTGTCCCACTGGTCTCACTCTGACAAACTCACTCAACTTGGTGCTGTTAGAAAAACTCAACACATGAAACGGTGAAGTCGATCCATCCAGAGCCCGCGGAGGAGCTCGAATAATTGGTAAAAAAGTCCCAAAAAAGTACTTTCTCCCGTCGCTCATCCAATCCAGCTGTAGGCCCTGCACTCCGACAGAGGCTTCTCCTTGTAGACCACTCTGTAGCCACACTTCGTCCTGACACGGTGGCATTTGTTGGGCCAAGAAGTGGGTTTCATTTGACTAAGCAGAGAAAAAATACAACCCATAACATTAGAAATACTTGTGTTGTAAAAAAACTGCAGAAGTTTTTAGTCAACTGATGGCTTTTTGCTTACGTGATGCAATAGGCTCCAAACTCGTGGCAGTAGCATTTGTCACAGCCGCGCCTGAAAGTGTCTCCAGGTTTGAAGAACTTGTTTTTATGAGAACAGACGCCTGAAAGACAGTTATCAGGTTTACAGAAAGTATTGTAATCACAGTTTATATTGTACGAAGGGTCTATTGTCTGTATGTATATGTTTAGGATTGGGTTGAAGGAGCAGTATGTAAAAAAATCTGGCCAAAAGTGGTGCTCCCATCTCGCCCACTCTCCCTGACTTAGGTTGCCAGATATGCAGACGGACCCAGCTGGGACCATAACAGCTGAATAGACAAGAGTTTTGTCAACAATAAATCTATAAGCAACACCTTTTTCACAAAGATAGAAATCCTGGTTTTATTCCATGTTTTGTAATTAGATTTACCCTTTTTGTATCTTTTTAGTTCTGCGGCCACATGTTACTTACGGCACAGTGAGTTCTGGCAACCCGGATCACAGACTTTCTGATTGGTGAAACGGTGGAGGGCGGGACATCAAAATGAAAACAAAAACAAGATTTAGGGGCTGGAAAACTAATTTAGAAATCCAAATATCTCTGAACTATTGTTATCAGTTAAATAAGTATTGAAAAAGAGCCTGTTTTATTAATGCCTATGGACAGATTAGGGCCCTTTAATGATGACAGATTAGGGACCTTTAAATGATAACAGATTAGGGCCCTTTAATGATGACAGATTAGGGCCCTTTAATGATGACAGATTAGGGCCCTTTAATGATGACAGATTAGGGCCCTTTAAATGATAACAGATTAGGGCCCTTTAATGATAACAGATTAGGGCCCTTTAATAATGACAGATTAGGGCCCTTTAATGATGACAGATTAGGGCCCTTTAATTATGACAGATTAGGGCCCTTTAATGATGACAGATTAGGGCCCTTTAAATGATAACAGATTAGGGCCCTTTAATGATGACAGATTAGGGCCCTTTAATGATGACGGATTAGGGCCCTTTAATGATGACAGATTAGGGCCCTTTAATGATGACAGATTAGGGCCCTTTAATGATGACAGATTAGGGCCCTTTAGTGATAACTTGACTTGAAAATCTTACACATTGCTTCTTTAAGATTTTGTATGCTTGCCTTTATAGAAACACACTGTTATAATGTTAATAACGCATTTAACAGGCAGTACTAAAATAAACACTGACATTTCTTAATTTTACTTTTAGGTCATCGATCTAAACCATTACTATTACTTCACATCTGTGCAATGGCTCGTCTTCCACTTACTGGTTATGGAACGGTAAACGGATAGTTCTACTGTCTGGTCTCGTTGATTTCTAGTTTGATTTCTGAGTTCTAGTCTGGTCTTGTTTATTTTTCATCACGGGTTCTCAGCAGCTCTGACTAAATGACCGGATGGCTCTTCAGCTGTTAGTTCAATTCACATTAGAGTTTGTCACTTCACTGTCTCACAAACATATTCATACCACATTCACTTTTACACATTTTATCCTGTCACGTCCAGAGAGTGAGATTTATGTGAAACAGAAAAATATGAATGACTATTGGGTAAAATACAACTTCACCAGCTTTGTGCTTTGGAGACAACTTAAGCTTTGTCATGATAGATGGAGAGAGTTTGTGAATACTGTCGCAGTGTCATGTAGGACTTTGCCTTTTGAAAGTCCTTCTTTACAGCCTCAGTCCTGGATCTACAGCCTCAGTCCTGGGTCTACAGCCTCAGTCCTGGATCTACAGCCTCAGTCCTGGATCTACAGCCTGAGTCCTGGGTCTACAGCCTCAGTCCTGGATCTACAGCCTCAGTCCTGGGTCTACAGCCTCAGTCCTGGATCTACAGCCTCAGTCCTGGATCTACAGCCTGAGTCCTGGGTCTACAGCCTCAGTCCTGGGTCTACAGCCAGTCCATCTGTGGGGGTGGTTCCTGGTCTCAATAGGTAGGTAATTGGGCGGCACGGTGGCTGAGTGGATAGCATTCTCGCCTCTCAGCAAAAAGGTCCTGGGTTCAAATCCCAGTCAGACCAGGCCCTTTCTGAGTGGTGTTTGCATGTTCTCCCTGTGTCTGTGTAGGTTTATTTTTTTATTTTATTTTTTATTTTTATTTTATTTATTTATATACCGCCTTTTCACTACACATCAGAGTCTCAAAGCGGTTTACAATTGTTATTTTTGGGAGTGGGGCCAGTACAGGAGGCACATGCCAGACCTATTGTACATATTTTTAGTGGTTAGGGAAACCGGAGCACCCGGAGGAAACCTACGCAGACACGGGGAGAACATGCAAACTCCACTCAGAAAGGCCCTGGTCCAACCGGGATTTGAACCCAGGACCTTCTTGCTGAGAGGCGAGAGTGCTATCCACTAAGCCACCGTGCCGCCATCCTTGCGAACCCCCGGTTTCCTCCGGGTACTCCGGTTTCCCCTACCACTAAAAATATGTCCAATAGTTCTAGCATGCGCCTCCTGTACTGGCGACCCTGCTCCCATCTCTGTGTGGAGTGAGAGACAAATGCCCAAAAATTAGCAATTGTAAACCGCTTTGAGACTCAGATCTGCAGTGAAAAGGCGGTATATAAAAAATAAAGATAGATAAAGATAAGTAATTAGTAAGTAATCTTTAATCTCAATAGGGGCCTCCCAGAGGTTGTTTGTTGCCGATGCTGGAGGATCCAAGGACAGTGACGATCCTGGACATTTGTTATATTCAGTGACTACTATTCTCTATTCTCTTCACACACACCAGTCAATAGTTAGCTCAACATTGCAGAGAGATGAGGAAGAAGAGGCACAGAGTCCCGTTGACATCATATGAGTGAATATGTCGTCTCTATATTCCAGTAGGCCTCCAGAGATGCTGTGTCACCTTGAGCAGGGATCAATATCAGGACACTCTGGGCCCTGGACACCTCCAATGGGAGCAGTCAGAGGAGCAGAGGACAGCGGAGGTCTTCCCTGCTCCCAAACACGTCACCGGCTGCATCTCTGAGCCCAGCAGAATACAGCGTCCTCGGGCAAAACTAACAAATGACCAGCACACCATGTGGACTCATAAATCAGGGATGGGTTTCGCAAATGGTATCCGAAATGTGGTCTTTCTATTTAGAGTCAGCATAACCTCCAGATGGGAGAGCGGCGTCGTCCTCTGTATTTGCTGGTGCGGGATTTTTACTTTGAAATAAGTATTCAACCTAACCTGGAATGTCCTACTCTGGAACAACTCAAGGTTCTGTTAGTTTACTTTTCTGACTCTGGAACCTGTTTTACCAATACTGGAACTATAATCCAACCTAAATGAGCATAGTTTTTATAATACTGTACTTCCAGATATTCACAAGTTTCAAGAAACAATACTTTCAACATTTATGTGGATTTGAATTGGTTTATTGCTAAAGTGAAAAAGGACAGCTTGAAATCCATGAATAAACAACATTTGATGAATTTTCCCCAACAAAATCAAAGTTTTGTTGTTGTTATTATCTCTTTGAAAAACAGCTGTCTTGTCATGTTCTGAAATCCTTGTACATAAAGTAAAGCTCACCTTTCATGTGATAGAGCGAGGCTTCAGTGCAGTCAGTGTCCAGCAGCAGAAAGACTGAGAAGCAGACGGACAACAGGACCAGCTGAGCACTGCTGTAACTTATCGTCAAAATCATAATGACAGATGGAATGAGTTTGGTCGTTATTTGAGCAAAATGTCTGCTTTCTTTGTGAGTATCCCCGGTACAGTGACAAAGTGACTGAAGCCCCTGTTATTTATAGCCATTCTGCGAGAAGAGGAGGTGAAAGGAGGTGTTTACAGTCATGTCCGACCAGTGTTTACATGTTGGCAGTGCACCCGAGCACGCTGCTAACTATACTCCTCACATGTGTGGTATGAAGAGGTCACAGACCATAACATCAGCCACGCAAAGTGCAAATTAATCTGACGACACTTGGCACCAAGTGTCACATCCCTGATCTTCCTTCACCTTTGTTCACTGTTTTGGATACATCTACTGGTAAATAGTGGAGAGAGCTTTAAACTGGGAATGCCACAGGTACATAAGGACATCAGGTAACTGATAATAATTATTAAAATACACATGTAATAACACAAAAGACCCAATAAGCTGCATTTACAAAAGTTCTAATAAACTCGTCCCAGGTTTCAGAAATGCTTAGGTTCAGTAGAAGTGAGTACTAGTGCCACCAGTAGAAAAATATATTGCTGACAGTTTGGTAAATTAAGTCTTTATCCCGACCCTGTCTCCTGCGTACTCGAATAAAATCTATTTTGGTTTTCACTACTGTGTCTCTGACAGATGGTGATCTGAAGAAACTGTGCTTTACGCTGAAGATGGTCACTGCCTTAACAAATGGAAGGCCATGAAACAAGCATTTCCCGTTTGATCTTACAAACATTTCTCTGTGTGGTCTCTCTTCTCCTTCACTGACATTGGCAAAGACTCAACAGAGTTAGTGGTTTGTCTCGTCCTTCCGGAGGGCTGTCTGCAGCCAGCGGACATCTCTGAGTGCAGAGTAACGGATATGAAGGAGCTGGAGAGAGCGTGTGGTGGACGGACCATTCCAACTGGAAACCACTGCCTCCTCTTCCCTCTCATCGCGGTCAGGGACAGGAAGCTGCTCTGGGCCACACTGGCCGTGCACTGTTTTCTAACAGCTACTCTGACTTAGTGCTCTCCCAAAGCTTCTAACAACACTGTGTCTTTGAAGTGAGACACACAGTCCATCACTGGCCGCAGTAACGTTAAAGTATAATAATCATTTGTTGAAACATTGTAGGATGAGGTGAGTTTTGCCGCGGCACATGGCCTGTGTCTCAGAGGAAGCGGCCCAGACGGTGAGCATGGGATTGAGCTCATTCTTGTCATGTCAATCTTGTTGTTCTACAAAGTGCGGTGAGGAAGACTCTCGCCCGGAAATACAAACGGATTAAGTCATTTTCATTCTGGAAAAAAAGTTCTGTTTCAACAACAGATTTGGATAGAACAATCAAAGAGGGATTTCAAACACATTTTGGTCAAGGCCCCGAATAAAAAAAAAAGCTTATAATTACTGCTGAGATCCCAATGGATTTCCTGTGAGAAAGTGAAATGTAATGCATTGTCAGGATCTTTCTGTTCGACTGTAAATGGTTTGCATTCCTAACATTACCTCCACTTCCATTTAACCATCGCCTCACATTGTTACTTCTGCCCAAACAATGGGACTTCATCCATTTTTGAATCTCTATGAAAATTGTTAGATTGATAAAAAAAACTAAGTGTACTGGGTGCAGGTCTGACTGCCACCCCCCCGACCCAGAAATGGATTAAGGGGAAGAAAATGGATGGATGGATGGATGATAAAAAAAACATTTTGATAAATCTATTGATTGATTGATTGTTCTCCCATGTCTGAGTGAGTTTTCTCCAATCAATCATAAAACACACAATAATTCTACAAGTCACGTCGTCGTCCGGCCTGCTCAATTCAACTCGTTTCTTGCAACTGATTTTTAAAAAGCAGATGTCTGAGATGCTAGCAAGGCGTTTAGGCGGCGCTGAAAAGGCAGAAGGACGGTGCACGGCTAATTGTTAAAGTAGCAGTATGTACAAATGTGGCCAAAAGTGGTACTGCAGCCTCTCCCACTCTCCCTGACTCAGGTTGCCAGATATGCAGACGAATCCAGCTGGGACCATAACAGCTGAATAGACAAGAGTTTTGTCAACAACAAATCTATAACCAACACCTTTTTCACAAAGATAGAAATCCTTGTTTATTCCTCGTTTTGTCGTTAATGATTTGAGAATCACAGTTCTGTGAACCCGGATCACAGACTTTCTGATTGGTGAAACAGTGGAGGGCGGGACATCCAAATGAAAACGATAACCAGATTTAGGGGCTGGAAAACTGATTTTGAAATTCAAATATTTTGGCTTAATTACTTTGATCAGTTAAATAATTATTCAAAAAGAGCAGGTTTTGTTATACCTTTTGACAGATTAGGGCCCTTTAATGATGACTTGACATGAAAATCCTACATATTAATCTTTTAAGTCAGTATTGACCACTTGCATGTGACGTCCCGGCCACGCCCACTCTCCATGACAGACGGCAGAAGTCTAAGTGCGAGCCTACGGACACCTGACCAAAGCAACCTGTTTCAGCACATTACAGCCAAAACTGTGACATTTTGCAGTGCGGTTGATTAACAGGCAAGGACATAAGCTTTTTTATCTGATACCTGCTCGTCATGAGGACAGTAGACGACGATGGCGGCAATCAACCAAAAGGACTGGGACCCATCCAAGTACTATTTACACTTTTTACAAGATAAAGCAATCACAAGTTTGTATTTATTTTATTTCCATTAATGTGGAGCGCAATGACACACGTCAAACGTGTCTCTTACTACTGTCCTGTATGTGCGCTGCAACATTGACATTTTTATCTTTTAAGTCAATTGCATGTTTCACTATTTTCCTCTCCGTCAGTACGTATCATGTTTGGCTGTAGACAGAAAAGCCACAGAAAAGTGGACTATTGCTGATGCTACCAGCAAAATGTACATATAAATCTGCTCCAGTGTGAGGGGATGCATTGTTAACGATAATGATAAAGATCATCCATCCATCCATCCATTTTCTTCCCCTTAATCCATTTCTGGGTCGGGGGGGTGGCAGTCAGAGCTGCACCCAGTCACACAGCACCAGCCCCTCACTGATCCTTCTGCAGGTGGTGAGTCCACAGGAGCTGAGAACTTTCAGTGGGAGCTTCAGGCAAAGTGGGGTTAAGTGTCTTGCCCAAGGACACAACGACAGCAGTCATCAGTGGGAATCGAGAAGTAGGTCTTACGGTGGGCTCAAACTCACGACCTTCAGACCCAAAGGCCAATGCTCTACCAACTGAGCTACTGATTAAGATCATGTAGGGTGAATTTGGGCAAAAATAGACATTTTCTTTAATCGATAAAATGGACTGGGGGGAGAAGGTACGGGTCAACATCCAGTTAGGCGATCCTTAACTTCTCCAAATACCACTCTTTGTGAGCCCTGACCTGATGTCCTACTTCCACCTATAACGTAATCGAACATGTGTTTGAAGCAGCCACTTCTCGATTTAGGAGAGGAAGCTCCGTTTTTAAGAGTTGTGTCCGTTTTGCTCTCGCAGCAATGCTAGTTTCCAATACTTCCGTCGTAAGCTCATTCACAATCACGTGACTGGATGACGTTGATGCATCTGGTCAATAACTTAATATATTTTTAGTTATCCATAATCAACGTACTTCAAGTGGTGTGCTTCCTAAATTGTGGATATTCCCAAAACTCTAGATTTATTGGCGCTGTCAATCACTCTTCGCCTCGTTTTTGACTTCAGTTCCAGTAACACAAGAAGCCGGGGTCTATTTATTTTTCTTAATCTTAATGGAACATTATTGTGCCCTGACCCCAAAAGTTAGCAGCTGAATCTTGAAGGATGGCTTCCCGTTGCAGGCTGTGGTCAAGGGCACATGCTAACGTGTTGGCTAGTTGTTTTATTATTTGAGGTTGGTTGTGGTTCTCCCTTTGGAGGACCACACAAACTCCTGTGCTGGTAACTCAACATGCAAGAATCAGACTATTAAATGTATTTTTGTTGCTAAAGAGCCTATATAAAGACTAATAAAGTGGGTCCTGACGGTGGCTTGGCGTTAGCGTGGCTTGGCGTTCGCGTGGCTTGGCGTTCGCGTGGCTGTGGGCTCGGTTGTGCCACCCAGTTAGCATCTCCGGATATTTATGGGTGTGTGACTCACCTCAGCACAGTTCAAGTGGGAGTTCTGACTTCACTGATAATAACACATGTATTACCACAACGGGGACGGAGGCTGGTTTAACGTGGCCAGAGGAGAATGGGCATCTCTCTGGAGTGATAAATAAAGTAATTGGAACAGAATGCTAACAAAAAACAATGCTCAAAGAATTGCTAACATTAGCAACGACCCTTTATTAGTCCATTTCTGGGTCGTGGGGGTGACAATCAGAGCTGCACCCAATGCTCAGTCCCTCCCTGATCAGTGGTGCCACAACCCCGGTGTTCCAGCACTGATACAATGGTTCTGTAATTGCTAATGAAAACAGCTATCATACATTATTATTATCCGTATTATTCCTCATAACAAATAAAAACTTCTGCTGTTGAGGCCCAAAAGCAAGACAAATTCAGATGTAATGGGGTTTACTTAACACAAAAAAAAAAGGAAAGGGTGACCGCAGTAAATGAAAACTGGTGAGGTGGCCGGAAACTGGCACAAGGATCCAGAGGCCAGAAGATAAAACAAAAATATCAGTAGAGAGAGTAGGAGCACACTGACAGGTATGCCCCGTCCCAATACTCGCACTTCCACCCTCGCGCCCCTCATTTGCGTGTTCCCGATAAAGGGTGCGAGTGCGTAGGGTGTCCCAATTCTCCAGGGAGGTTTTTAGCCCCGCCCCCTTTGCGCCCCTGATCCACACTTCACCGTAGCCTGCATCTATGCGCACTCTGGCGAAGGATATTGCCCATAGTGCTTTAAGGTACACACCAAAACGTCGGGAAAATGCAAATTCTGAAATATATATGCAGTATGTGTGTAAATAAGTTTTGCTATGTTACTTGGAAAGAAGCATAAACGTCTTATGAAGAATTACGGACATTGTGTTTTGTAACGTGTAAGTTCGTGGTGATAGAAGGATGACTCTCAAGGTAATAGAACAGCAGGATGGAGCAGGATTCTTTTAAGCCAGCACACTTTTATTATCAACCCATTTTCAACTCCTTCCTTCCTCCTTACGTCACCGTCACATGACCCATTTTACCCAATCACTGCACTGCTCCAAACTAGCAAAGATATAACTCATCAAAATAATATCACTCTTACAGTATTAACAATTTAATAACTTTTTAAAGCAAGCGTTTGTATAACATTCAATTTAAACTTTACACTTAGTACAATAATCTTAGAATGTATAAAAACTGACCAGATAGTTAGTTACCCACATTTAACTTAAAATTATACAGCTATCCTTAATTAAAAACAACTAATATACATAGTAAGTAAGTAAGTAAGTTTTTATTTATATACCGCCTTTTCACTGCAGATCTGAGTCTCAAAGCGGTTTACAATTGTTAATTTTGGGCATTTGTCTCTCACTCCACACAGAGATGGGAGCAGAGTCGCCAGTACAGGAGGCACATGCCTATTGGACATATTTTTAATGGTAGGGGAAACCGGAGTACCCGGAGGAAACCTACGCAGACACGGGGAGAACATGCAAACTCCACTCAGAAAGGCCCTGGTCCGACCGGGATTCGAACCCAGGACCTTCTTGCTGAGAGGCGAGAGTGCTATCCACTCAGCCACCGTGCCGCCCATGTATTTCATGTATTTTATGTACATGTACATGTATTTTAACGTGTGGGAAGCAACTCACTTTGTTTCGCACAGGGTCAGAGAAAATTATCTTTAATTTTTATAAAGTTTAGGTCTGAAAATGACCATCTCTTGACGAGTCGATGACGTAACCTGCACTCAGTGAGCACTGTCCCAATTCCGCCTTTTGTGCACACTTGCAACCTGCGCACTCAAACCCTTGCGCGCACT